GTGTGATTTTGGAAGCTTTAAAACAGTTAAAAGACTCCTTCGGCCTTTCGGAAAGACCGTAAATTGAAAAAAATTTGAAATAAAAAAAATTAAAAAGAAATTCTTGCGTTCAAAAGTACCTGAAAATTGAAAGAAAAGCACAAGTAAAAAAGTTTTTAAAAACATGTGTCTTCTAAAAAGCCTAAAAATGAAGAAAGTCAGACAGGAAAAAAAATTAACAATTTCCCGCTTTAAAAAACTCATGTTTACTTAACTAAATTTTTTTTCACGAAAATTTGACAGGGTGATTTTCTCGAGACTGAAAAAATTTAATTTTTTTCACTTTTTTGAAATTCTCTTAGATTTTTTTTTTCACGCGGAAGTATTTTGTCTTGGGCTACCTGTGTCTGTCTTGGGCTACCTGTGTCTGGCTTGACACAGGTAGCCCAAGACAAAATACTTCCGCGTGAGAAAAAAAATCTAAGAGAATTTCAAAAAAGTGAAAAAAATTAAATTTTTTCAGTCTCGAGAAAATCACCCTGTCAAATTTTCGTGAAAAAAAATTAAGTTAAGTAAACATGAGTTTTTTAAAAGCGGGAAATTGTTAATTTTTTTTTCTGTCTGACTTTCTTCATTTTTAGGCTTTTTAGAAGACACATGTTTTTAAAACTTTTTTACTTGTGCTTTTCTTTCAATTTTCAGGTACTTTTGAACGCAAGAATTTTTTTTATTTTTTTTATTTCAAATTTTTTTCAATTTACGGTCTTTCCGGAAAGGCCGAAGGAGTCTTTTAGCTGTTTTAAAGCTTCCAAATCACACCGAAATTTTTTAGGTTAATTTTTGTGCATTGCTAGGAGTTGAAACGTTTGTCTTCGGAATGAGAGACGAACGCCTTAACCACTAGACCACCGAATCATTTGTCGAAAGCTATTGTTCTCTATTTGACCTAATCCTTTTCAATGAATTTTAAATTAAATAGTTATTTCGATAGGAAAAAGGGAACCTTTCCCATGCAGGATTCGAACCTACCGTTACAACATGGTAGGTCGTAGCCTTAACCACTGGGCCATCGGATTGTATATTGATAGCAACCTGCTCAATATATATGTCATTGCGGTAGCCCAGTGGTTAAGGCTACGGCCTATCAGGTTGTAAGCGTGGGTTCAAATCCTGCATGGGAAGGTTCGATTTTTTCCACCAAAATTACTATTTAATTTAAAATTATTCAAAAAGGATTTAGTCAAATAAAGAACAATAGCTTTCGACAAATGATGTGGTGGTGTAGTGGTTAAGGCGTTCGTCTCTCATTCCGAAGACAAACGTTTCAACTCCTAGCAATGCACAAAAATTAACCTAAAAAATTTCGGTGTGATTTGGAAGCTTTAAAACAGCTAAAAGACTCCTTCGGCCTTTCCGGAAAGACCGTAAATTGAAAAAAATTTGAAAGAAAAAAAATTAAAAAGATAATCTTGCGTTCAAAAGTACCTGAAAATTGAAAGAAAAGCACAAGTAAAAAAGTTTTAAAAACATGTGTCTTCTAAAAAGCCTAAAAATGAAGAAAGTCAGACGGAAAAAAAATGTAACAATTTCCCGCTTTTAAAAAACTCATCTTTACTTAACTAAATTTTTTTTCACGAAAATTTGACAGGGTGATTTTCTCGAGACTGAAAAAATTTAATTTTTTTCACTTTTTTGAAATTCTCTTAGATTGTTTTTTTCACGCGGAAGTATTTTGTCTTGGGCTACCTGTGTCTGTCTTGGGCTACCTGTGTCTGGCTTGACACAGGTAGCTCAAGACAAAATACTTCCGCGTGAAAAAAAAAATCTAAGAGAATTTCAAAAAAGTGAAAAAAATTAAATTTTTTCAGTCTCGAGAAAATCACCCTGTCAAATTTTCGTGAAAAAAAATTTAGTTTAAGTAAATATGAGTTTTTTAAAAGCGGGAAATTGTTAAATTCTTTTTCCTGTCTGACTTTCTTCATTTTTAGGCTTTTTAGAAGACACATGTTTTTAAAACTTTTTTACTTATGCTTTTCTTTCAATTTTCAGGTACTTTTGAACGCAAGAATTTCTTTTTAATTTTTTTTATTTCAAATTTTTTTCAATTTACGGTCTTTCCGAAAGGCCGAAGGAGTCTTTTAACTGTTTTAAAGCTTCCAAATCACACCGAAATTTTTTAGGTTAATTTTTTGTGCATTGTTAGGAGTTGAAACGTTTGTCTTCGGATTGAGAGACGAACGTCTTAACCACTAGACCACCGCGTCATTTGTCGAAAGCTATTGTTCTTTATTTGACCTAATCCTTTTCGAAGAATTTTAGATTAAATAGTAACTCCGGTTGGAAAAACTGAAACTTTCCCATGCAGGATTCGAACCTAGACTTACAACCTAGTAGGCCGTAGCCTTAACAACTGGGCAACGGAATCGTATGTTGATACCAACCTTACAATATATATACATATATATTATTACGATAGCCCAGTGCATGGTTAAGACTACAGCCTACCTGGTTGTAAGCGTAGGTTCGAATCCTGCATGGGTAAGGTTCGATTTTTCCAACCGATATTAGTATTTAATCACGGAAAATTCTTCGAAAAGGATCAGGTCAAATGAAGAACAATAGCTTTCGACAAATGATTTGGTGGTCTAGTGGTTAAGACGTTGATTTCTCAATCCGAAGACGGACGTTTCAACTCATGACAGGGTGATATTTTTGAGACTGAAAAAATTTACATTTTTTACTTTTTTGAAATTCTCTTAGATTTTTTTTTGACGCAGAAGGATTTTGTCTGGGCTACTACTAATGGCTTGGGATACTGTGTCAAGAATAATCATATGTATTTTGTACGCTGTGGGTATTTTTGATATCAAAACTCAATTTACACTTTCAAAAACACTTTTTGAAGTTAAAGCAAAGGTGTAATAGCTTTTCACAGGTTTATGCGATTGTCGTTAATCAGGCCCAGTTCAGTTTCGAAATTTGGTTAAAATTGCTCGAAATGGTTCAAAACTAAGTAGAATTACATTGCTTCACGAAAATGATATATTTTCAGTACATAAAATCATAGTTTGATTAGTTTCAAATTTTCAGCAAAATCGGTAACCGCGGACCAAATCACCAAATGATAAATCTTACGTTTCGTCAAATTTTCTAAATTTCAAATTTTGGTTAAAAAAACCTCGAAATGGTTCAAAACTAAGTAGAATTATATTGCTTAACGAAAATAATATATTTACGAGTTCAGAAAATCTTAGTTTGATGAGTTTCAGAATTTCGGCAAAAATGGTAACGGGGACCGAATGAAAAATGCTACCGTTTTCGTCAATTTTTCGAAATTTCAAAATATGGTTCCAAAAACCTCGAAATGATTCAAAATCAAGTAGAATTACATTGTTTCATGAAAAAAATATATTTGAGTACATAAAATCTTAGTTTGATGAGTTTCAGAATTTCGGCAAAATCGGTAACCTGGGACCAAATGAAAAATCTTACCGTTTTCGTCAATTTTTCGAAATTTCAAAATATGGTTTAAAAAACCTCGGAATGATTCAAAACCAAGTACAATTACATTGTTTCGCGAAAGAAATATATTATAGTACATAAAATCTTAGTTTGCTGAATTTCAGAGTTTCGCCGGGCAAAATCGGTAACCGGGGACCAAATGATAAATCCTACGTTTCGTCAATTTTTCGGAATTTCAAAATTTGGTTCCAAAAACCCTCGAAATGGTTCAAAAGTAAGTAGAATTACATTGTTTCACGAAAACAATATATTTGAGCACGTAAAATCTTAGTTTGATGAGTTTCAGAATTTCGGCAAAATCGGTAACCGATGACCAAATGATAAATCCTACGTTTCGTCAATTTTTCGAAATTTCAAAATTTTGTTCAAGAACTTCAAAATGGTTCAAAGCTAAGCAGAATAACATTGTTTCACGAAAACAATATATTTGAGTACAGAAAATCTTAGTTTGATGAGTTTCAAAATTTCAGCTGAAAAATGGTAATGGGGACCGAATGAAAAATCCTACCGTTTTCGTCAATTTTTCGAAATTTTAAAAATTTGGTTAAAAAGCCTCGAAATAGTTCAAACGTAAGTAGAATTACATTGTTTCACGAAAATAATATATTTGAGTACATAAAATCTTAGTTTGATGAGTTTCAAATTTTGGCAAGACTGGTAACCGTGGACAAAATGTTAAATCCTACCGGCGTTTCGTCAATTTTTCGAAATCAGTTCAAAATTTGGTAAAAAACCCTCGAAATGGTTCAAAACTTAATCGATTTATATTGTTTCACGAAAATAATTTATTTGAGTACATAAAATCTTAGTTTGACGAGTTTCAGAATTTCGGCAAAATCGGTAACCGGGCCAAATGAAAAATCCTACCATTTTCGTCAATATTTGGAAATTTCAAAATTTAATTGGTTCAAAAACCTAGAAATGGTTCAAAACCAAGTTAATTGGTTTAAAAAAACACTAGCATTTACGTGAAAATGTTTAAATATGATTGGGTATCTGTCACGTCTATATATGTAAATTTTTTTATAGAAATTTCAAAAAATTTAAGATACTTTGGTATAAGTCAACAATTTTTAAAAATTTTGATATTTCGATCGAATTGATAATATATGTACTGTTATTATGAATCTAAACCAAAAAATACTAAAGTTTTTGAGCAAAGACTTATTCACATTCCCTTGAAGCATAGCGCTGACATGCCATGATTGCCATTTACCAATCTTATTTTGGAAATCGTCGCTTTAAAAAATCACGAGATTTACATTCAAAAAAAATCCCTAACTCCTTAAAAAATTCCCGAGAGAACATTATAGTACGCGCGTGCTGGTTGGTCGAGAAGCGCATTTCTATAACTGTATAGAAACACGGAAAATTACTGTTTTCAATTTCTTAATTAATTAGAAATGTTCATATTGTGCTGGGTTCACGAGCAGGCACAATATGCTGTCTTACATAAAGTTTAGACTTAATGCCCGAACAATAATTGTTGCTTGAGAAATCTGAATCGATGACAGAAAAGTTATTTTCCTTTTTTAACTTTTATATTCTTTGTAAAAAAGTGTAGATATGGATTCTCAGATCCTAGTTCTTGGTCCTGAAGGTGGCGGCAAAACCATGTTATTAAAGCGACTTCAAAGCTACACCTCACAAATGTCAAGCAGTGGCGATACAACGCTTGATGAACCACCTTCCACTATCCCTACGGTCGGTGTAAATCTTGTCAGTTTGCAAATCAATAAAAAGAAATTTTGTTTCAGAGAACTTGGTGGTGCAATGGCCCCTGTTTGGTCAAACTATTTCAAGGATTCATCACACTGCATTTATGTTATCGACTTAGCAAACAGAGGACAGATTGCGGCTTCCACAATACTGTTGTTGAATCTGCTTACAGCAAGACAGTCGAGCACTTGGCCGGTTTTAATTATTTTTAATAAACTAGATATACCTTGTGGAATGACCCAAATGGAAATATCATCAATAATGCGTCTACAAGACATTATTACCCGTTCAAGTCAGAAAATATTTAAAGTTGAAACGTGTTTACATGATGGGAGAGGCTTGTCAGATGTTGTCAACTGGTTGCAGGAGACATACCGAGCGAAATAGTTATATGTTTGTATTGTTCTTTGGGATTTGTTTATTTGACAAGGTATCTTTGGGATATGTCTCCTTTGGCAAGCAATCGATTAGCTTGTACTGTATTCATGACTTGTCAATACTTATGTAACCCTAACATAATTTTTAATTATTTAATTAAGTGACAGCAATAATTTTGTCATTTGTAAAATAATTGATGTATATATAATACATGCATAGACAGTATACATGCTGTAAAGATTTTGCCATTGTTCATTCCGTACACAAGGTTATATACAATTGTCATATTTTAGAGAAGTTGTTTCTTGTTTTTTCCCAGAGGGAGGAATGTAGGGAACTTCAGTCACAATAGAAAGCTCAGATAGGAGGAATTCAATTAATTTGTATGATTAAGTAAATTTGACAAGCAATACTGGATGATCATCACCATTCACTAGTCCTGGTTTTTGACAGTTCTACCTGGCATAATTGTTGGGAATTTTCCATTTTGGAGCCATTTTCGTGCGTTTTCCAAGAAATTTGAACAGTGATTTGTTTGCAGTTTGTAATCGAGGCTTGATTGTCGATAAGGTCAAACAGTCCGTTAGTACACAAACTACAAACACTATATTGTAGTTAAAATTTTTTTGTCATTGCAAGCACCGAGACGTGAATTCTGAAATAGCGTTTCTTTGCGTCATTAAACGTGATTTAAATCCCAACACTACAACAGAGTAACTAAATAATATATATCTCATTCTGTTATTTACTATTGAGCCACAACCATTCACCTTGTGACCGAACCACCCGATTTTTGTGATCAAGCGAGACCAAATTTTGTCTTATTGACATTGTATCAACTTCATAAACTAAGTATTATTTCATTGTTTTCACTACGTATTCTTCACAATTGATCGATAGACTGAAATGAAATATTTTTTCGCACGAGTTGCCGGCAGGTAATAAATTTCACCACCTGAAAGGGCACTTTTTCGCTGAAGACAGTGCATGCGATTTTGACATTTGAACCGATTGACTGCATAAAACGAAATGTCGAAAGGTACAAACATGATTTATGACTTTTTGAAAATCCTCTTAGCATACAGTTTTGATCACGCGCTGAAATCCTGGGAGGAATGTTTGCAAGATCAACGATTTTAAAAGTAGTCTATAGGGAATACTGCAATAGGGAAATATTCTCCATGCAATCAGCTTTTTTGGACAAGTACTCTGGAAAAGCGTTTACTTATGCCAATATAACTTGTGTGTTCAGCTTGTTTCAATAAGCATAGTGTGTGATTGATGTCTTCAGTGATATCATATCACTGAACTGATATGAGCTTTTGACTTGCGCGTGTGATACATGCGAGTATCACACGCGCAAATCAAAGTCTGAGCTGCCTATGATATGAGAAGAAAAGTGGGTTTTATAAAATCTGTTTAACAGAAAGGTCGTAATATATGATGGGACAAAAACTTGCGTTCACAGGGGTCGCAAGGAATTGTAAGGCTGTTTTTTTAAGACAAAACAACCACAAGTGTCAGTAAATATGTTTACCTGCGTATTCCGAGTTGAAATATAACTGAGATAGAGCCACGTGTTGATTGCTCAAACAGGCACCGAGCTTAGAACAATTAAGAAATTATTGCAGTGTTATTATAGTCTTACTTCAGTAAACACAAGCGTTCCTGATCAAAAACCAAAATTAGGCAGTACTCTTGGATTATGAGATCCAATCTACAGAATAAACTATGTATCGTTATCATTCATTTACTACTTCATGAATGTCTTTTAGTAAGTCAAGCATATTTTATGGAAGGTGTAAGTTTTGAAGTGCGAACAATCACATCTGATTCGTTTGAAAGTGAAGTGATTGAAAGTGACGATGCGTGGATATTGGCGATCAAAGGAACAAAGGTTTCAGAGGAAAAATGGCAAACAGAAGAAAATCTTTTACGCGGTGTCGTTAACGTAGCGTTTGTTGATTTAGACGAAGACGAAGCGTTCTGGTTGAAAAAGGTATAGCCGTATAGGTAACTAAAGTAGAGGCCCTTTTCACATCTAAAAACTTACATACAAGCTTGCTTCGAGTGCTTTCCCAACACAAAGATATTCCATTGAATGAAAAGCCTCCCGGAGAGCGTGAGATTGTTCAGTAATAATTGCGATGAGTGAGAACAAGCCTTAGTTGCATAAAAGGTTTATCAGACTTGTTTTAATGTTTTGTAATAACAATCATATAAAGAATGTTTTGTGGTCGATTTAGAATATGATCCTGGATAGAGACGCAGCAATTACTCCGCTTGCTATTGTTTTTCCTTACGGCGGAGAGAAAATAAAGAAAAAGAAGTACAAACATGTAAATAGCGTGAACGAAGCAAAGCACATTGCTTTATCATCATTATCCGAATATAAAATCACTTGGTTAAGAAGTAAAATGGGAGTGGAACAATTTATCAGAGCTGCATACACTTCATGGCCGCCCCGTTTTCCTCTCGTCTTGACTACAGGTGAATAAAAAATCTCAAATTTTGTTCTTATTCAGGTTTCAAAAAGTGTTCCAATATATTTCTCTTTTGCAATCGAGACACTCTGCATCACATTTCTAATTTTTATCCTAGCATAATTCAGTTCAATTGAGTCTTTAACCTTACTGTCTTAATATTTCAGCTATTCGTTTTGCTATACGAGAGTAAACATTTATTTTTGTGGTAAAGTAGCACATGTAGCACGTCGCCTAATCACTCATTGTCCAATCAACCATTTCAGAGAAAAAGATAACGCCGCCATTATACAGAGCACTTTCACTCAAGTATTCCAGGTATTTCAATTTTGGCATCGTGCACAGCTCTCTGGCGCAAATTGCAATGGGGTTACCAAAAAAAGTAAAGGTACCGCGCATGGATATTCTCATCTCCAAATTAGCACCAAATAACACTAAGATGGATATGGCTGCATTGACGTACGAAGTCGAAAAATATGGCCCGGTGCAGTATCGTTATCTCATACGATTTTTATTCTCTGCGCACGAGAAACACTGGCCCGATCTGCCCGGATCTAAAAAGTTTACCGAAGAATTAGGATTTGAGGAACACTACAAAGAAGATATTAGCAAGATTTTTGCAAACCCTGTTGATAAGTCAAAATCAAAGAATTGGGGAAGAATGTATACTCCTAAGATACAAGAAATAAATTATGATAATCATAAGACAATATGTGATGACTCCACACCTGGATATTGTGTTGTTGCGTTCCTTGATGGGGCGCCAAAACTGCATAAGAAACACTCGACTGTGTTCGCAGGAGTTCGTGATGCAAAAAACCTTCAAGGTAAGGACTGTTTTCCAACAAGCTGAATTTTTCGATCGAATGAAATTTTTCGCTTGATTTTCATTTCAATTGCATGTGAGAATTCGACCGTCTTTTCAATTGTGAGAATTCGTAAATTGACTGGTGTATATTATTGCTTTCCTACCAATGATTTCTCTATGCCTGTTTAAATGGCCTGGGTATTAAAATGATGTTTTCTTTATGGAAAAAATCAGGAAAGATGCTTTCATTTCAAATTGTCTCAGACTACTCAGAGATTTAAGTAAATCGAAATGGTGGTGAATCGAAAGATCACCCATCATTATTTTCTATACCTGAGACACTTTGTTATCTTGTTAGAAAAGGTTTTGAATTTTTTGTGGATAAACGCAACATGCTATCCTGAATATGGTTCAACATTTGGTGTGGATACAGACTCCTTACCAGCTCTCCTTATAGCCAAACCCCATCGACGATATTTTGTTAAGCATTCTGGAAAATTTAACAAGGATTCCATCGTCGAGTTCATCGAGAAATCTCTATCAGGAAGATTGAACTATAGTCCTTACTCAAGATTTGATGACCTTGAACGAAGAATATGTTCCGACCAAGGAATGGGAAATGAAACAACGGAAGATCCAGATTTAAAGTAAATATCCCATCATCTCACAATAAGCCTTCATACAAATGTATAATACGCCTTATCCTGACCTAAACAAAATTCAAAGTAGGACAGGTGTCAATTAATTGGCCTTGTTCACAAAATCGCTATAAGCACCATTATGAATGTGATGAAACGGAAAACAAGTAGAGTTTCAAGAAAATAGTTTCAAACATTTGTAACTTCAACTTGGATTCACCTTTTCTTTACTTAAGAGTTTCCGCCTGCAGATTTCAAAATAAAAAAATACGTTTTTTCATTACAGACAAGATGAAGGAAAAGATACAGAGAAGAAAGAGAAGGAAAAACAGACGATTGGAAAAAAAGGACGTAAAATTGACGAAGATTTGTAACCACAATCATTCAGAGAATCAGTGTATTGTCAACACTCGCTATAACCCTCCGTTTCTTTCAACTCTGATTCTGCGATGGCTAAAAATTTGTCAAACAACGAATTCAATAAATAGAGGCTTTTACTATAATTCATCTTTGATTATAAAAATTCAACAATGTAAGAATTAACCGTATAAATACAAAGTTGCAAATGATGCTCTTATTCCGTCATACTTAGAACATTTTCTCCAGGTTCAAGAAAACTTGCGAGTATTAAACTTCGTATCTCTCAGAAAAAGAATAATAACAAGAATCTTCCATGAAGGACAGAAAACGTGCATTCTCAACTCTTATTTTGTACTTGTTCAGAAGTTTTTTCCTGTGACCTTCCATCTTTCCAACTCTTCAAATAAAAAGCAAATCTCAAGAAAGCGACTCTTGTTCGGTCAGCTAATGCCTCGAAGGAATCCAATGCTGGTCTGCAGTCCAAATGAACAAACTCCCCTTTTGAGTACGAATCTTCATCACCGATGTCATAGTAATCGATGATATACCGCACTTTCTTACCACAACGGTTGACAATCCAATCATGGCGATCAAATGGAAGCTCATACCTGACACAAAAATCATCCAGATTCACACCTTTTTGTTATGTTGAATGTTCACTGATCTTAGGCCGGCAGGTGTGATTGGGCGGCAAAAGTATGCTCATGGAAATAATACAAAATATTTCATGTTTATAAGATTTGCTAAACTTACCCCAACCAGCTACGAATTCTTGCTCTGGGAGAATACTCTTGTGCCTTGCCACCAAACTTTTCTAGTTTGGGTTGATCACATTCACTGTTAGGAAGAAAAACAGTGAAGGAGACTTGTTGACAATGTGTAAGTAACTTCCAATGCCTCAAATTTGAAATGATTTGAGATAAATGTCACAGTGACATTTTTATTTACTTTATTCTCAAATTATTGACTTATTCCAGAATTATTCCCTTAAGAGAAAAACTTGTGAACTAGTGTACCAATAACGCAATAATGCTCAAAAATATTTGCAAGAAGATAAAATTTGTAGCTTGTTACTTTAAATTAAACAACTTACTGAGCATGAAATGACTCCCACTTTAAAACCTCCTGCCAAGCCCTCTCGTTATTCATATTATGAATTCTGATTATATGATCCATATCATTTGCACTTAGATCATCTTTCTGCCATTGCCAACCTTTCCTGAGCATAGCATTCCAGAACATTTGTGGTGACGGATATACCCAATTTGAGTCCTCATCTGCTTTTGGAATTGTTGATTCTTCTCTTACTGTAGATAGTGGGAATGGTTGGTCTGATGCTGGCATCTGATTGGCTGGAGGCATCTACATCAAGAAACTATCAACTCATGAATATGTTCAATACTCCATTAACCAAAGCTAAAAATCAACAATGCTGAATTAGCTTGAATGATGAATAAAAACCATGCAAATTAATGAACAATATGAATAACATATTACTCTTGGATTCTTTAAAATTGTATTAGGTCAATTCTAATATATATTTTAGCATAATTCATCTCATATTATAGTGCAAAAGAATGAAACATCAAACAAATTTAAGTGTTTTAAACTGTATTTCAAGGTTAATGATAAATTCTCGGCATATACCATATTTGCTGGATTAACATAATCATTACTCAAGTTCTCTTGATGCATAGGACATTCTCTTGGGTATTTTCCTGTCTTCTCTTCTTGCATAGGACAACTTTTCAGATGATTGTCTTTTGTATCATTATGTATTGGGCATTCATTAGAAGAGTTTGTTTGTTCATCAGATGGTGGTTGACTTGATGTTGATTCACCAGCACCCATCAGATGTCAAAATCAGATGTTTCCAATTCTTATGTACTGAAAGATGTAAGAACAAAGTGATATATTTCAATTTTAGTTTGGGATTTCTGATCAAAAGCTTACAGGTGTTTAATATTTCAAATATAGTATAGTAGGGAACATATCACATATGTATCATAAAATATATTTACAGCATGTACTGGACTACTGAAGTTAGTGAAGTATAAACTTCCACTTTGAGTTGAGAGTCAATATAGAACATATATCATTCAATTTTCGTTTCTAAAATCTTATGAAAGTCTACAATACCTTTAAGAAAAATTATCAATTTATGTGTTTACCATACAGCCGGACATTATAACTATGTTACTTGACGTACTGCAAACCATTCACACTGACATGAGCGCGAATTTGATCAGCGGCGCAAACGGCAAGAAGATGATGTCCTAGTATAAACCAGGTGTAAACCTAGCAGTGTAAACCTAGTTGTAAACCCCACTATTGGTTGGTTTGAACGTGAGGTTTGCTATTTTTTATCAGTGGTGCACACTGCTTACATCAATAGTAAACCACAATAACTGTTGTGTTTGACGTTTAAGCCGATTCTCCATTACGTCCGCTCCGCCCGCGCGGGCGATGTGCGCTTTGTTTTTCAGACCCGTCACGGGAGAAAAATCTGCCCATGATTTTCAAAAGTGGACGGTAATTGAGAATCGCCTTGAGAGCCGTTAGCAACTTAGCAGTTTGCGCAACCTCGCACTCGGGGTTATGGCGTTTGTCGTAACTGACAGTGCTAGCATTGCATGCAAGTTATCCTGCAATAGTTAGATGGTTGTGAGATTGTCAAAAATGCTGTTACAAACAAATAAAATTGTTGACAACATATTTTGTATATAGCACAACATTGTTCGATGCTGTTTTCATCAAACAACCGGAACAGCCTATTTTACCTTGCATGGTTAGGTATTAAACTATTTTATCGTCGCTGATTTTTAATCTTGAAAAACGGGGGGAACATTAGGGAGAAAGTGCCCCCTTCAAAAACATTTAAATCTAGAAAAGTTGGGCCTGTCTCGTACCTCTAAATTTTAGGCCTGTACGCCTATAGGCGTTTTTAATTATATTTTCCCTTACGTAGAAGGTTAATTATTCTAAGCCCGAGAGACCCTTTATAATCACCCCCCTCTCTTTACGCTTAGATTTAAAAAGGCCATCATCCTTTAATTAGTAGACCAGCGCTACAATTATAACAAACTAATATATCATTTTAACTGATAACAATGACTGACGTCATGCACAATAAGCACACCCGCCCGCGATAGTTTTTAAGGTATTCGTGACGGGGAGTAGTGAGTAGTAAGTACATTCTACAAAAATTGATTATTCTAATCATCACCCGTTCTTATTTTGTCTAAAACACACTGGAAATACAAAATCTAACATTTTACACTCATTAAAGATCGCATCAATTGCTTCAAATTTGTAATTGAAGTGCAAATACTGCCTTAGTCACAGTTATTCTATTCGCTGATTTTTTTTAAATAATCAGGCAGTTGACTTTACTCATCTGCTCAAATAATAGGACAGATGGTTCGATTGAAAACAATCACAGAACTGAACAGAAGACTATGTTCACGTACAACTGACACATTTTGCTTCTGAAAAAATATCATAGTCTACGAAAATACGTGGCGATTGTGATCGTTTTAGTCCGAAGTTAAAATGCGGCACAATTACATGTACAACAATACCACAGATTCAAACGATATCATACTTGTCAAGTGTTACATGACATATGTCGTTAATTCGCCATCGAGATCTTATATTATCAACAATGTAATAGCGTGTATGGTAAACTTTTTTCTTGCTATTTTGGGAACGTTTCTTAATGCAATGGTGATCTGGATCTTCTGGAAAACAACGTATTTACGCGAGAAAACCTGCTATTTCATGATTATGGTGTTATCTTGTGTCGATCTTTCTGTTACAACGATAGTGCAGCCATTGTTTTTGCTTAATTCTATTTCCGAGATGACGGCAAAGCCTAGATGCTCTTACAAGATTATGTCTCAAACAATAGCTGTTTGGTTGTCAGGGATGTCGACGATGACATTCTTTACTTTGAATATGGAGAGGTACTTATCTATTGTGCATTCAGTTTTTCACCGTAACCACGTAACTAAACGAAAATGCTTCGTATTTTTGAATGTCCTGTGGTCAATATGTAGTGTGTTATCTTTCGGTCCCTTTTTTTCGCTTGAAATTGATATTATCATTACGTTAGTGGCTTCAGTTATATGCATTGGTACGTTCTATATGTATGTTGTCATCTTCACTGTTGCAAGACGACGTGTCCATGGGATTACACGAAACAGCATAATTATTGTCCGTGCAGACTCTGCCGCAACATCATGCAATGGAAACCAGCAGCAATCTGAGCCGCAAAGAAGCATTCCAACAGCGACATATCAGGATTTTCTTCTGGCTAAAACATGTTTAGTAATAGTTTTTACTAGTTTGCTCTGTCACTTGCCAAACGCTATCATCTTGGGAGGATGGAGAGAAAGTCCGGACACAATAAATGTGATAGTGCATCTTAAAGTTTGGACACATTCTTTTGTAGCAATGAACTCAACGTTGAACTGTTTGATTTTCTTTTGGGCAAACAAAGCACTTGGCAATGAAGGGCGTCAGGTCCTTAAGCAATTACTTTGTCGAAATTTATCTGAGGAGTAGCCCAAGAAAATTCGTTTTCCATCTTCTTTATTTTCTATCCTGAGCGTGCTCATCCCTCGCTATATCCGCTCCTTTTACGGTCAAAACAGAGGACCTTATTAAAAACCACTTTTAATTGTGAAATAGGTTTCCTCATAAAAGATTGTAATATTATTATTATTATTCTTTATTAGGTGGGTTTAGGGTACATTCACAATAAAAACATCCGTAGTTCAGAGGGGCTGAATTCTGTCATTTAGTGTCGTTAAGGTACAATTTCACACATGAAGCAAATTCTGTGATTTAGTTAGGCCTAAGTTAAACGTTGCATTATGGTCGCGTCGAATGTAATCCGAACAAGATAATGAGATGATAATGAAGCTTAATGAGGTTTATCATCTCATTATTCATTTTTCAGTTGAATTGCGTTCGACGCGACGAAAATGCGACGTATAACCTAGGCCTAATTTCATTGTCCAAGTTCTAGGTTACATTTCTGAATAATTTGCTGTGAATCAGACTGATTCAGACATTTGTTTGACAAACAATTACAAAATTGCCATGCATATCCGCTTGAAAACCGCCATCTTGAATTTTTATTGAAATTAAGTGCTACAAATGCATTTTATTCTCTTAATAAGTTTATAATAAGTTTATAATCAGTTTATAACCACAATTTTTATCGTCTGGTTCCTAAAACAAAAGAAATATGCGCAAACACAGTGTGTGCTACATATATTGTGAAAAGATACAGGTGTGCCACAATTTGGGGGCACTTTTTTTCACCACCGGTCCCCAGTGGTTTCACCACCGGTCCCCAATGTTTTGAACACTCATTTTTAAGATATTGCAGAATTAGTCTTCGCTTTTACTCATTCGGGGTCTCATTGTACTCCGATGGTAGGTATGCGTAATTAAATATGCCTTCCCTGTTACGCCGCCCTTGACTGTCCGAATGCTGAAACATCACCCACTTCTTTAGCAATCCATATAAGGCCGTTGCCCATTTATGGAACATGATTCATGTGAGCGTTCCAGTTCCATGATGCGTTCTGAGAAAATCAGTTCTCATATTTCATCATAAATCAAGAACATTCTGCGGAAATAAACCTGTATTATTTCACTTGCGTTTCAAGAGTGTATCAACAACATATGTCAGGGATGGATATGACGAATAAAAACATGTTTTTGTTGTTCATCGTGTTTGTTTTTCTTTCTTTTGACTATTCCAACGCCCTCCTTTTTGGTAGTGATTGCCAGGATGAAAACGACTGCATTTCTTGTACGAAACACAAAACATGGTCTGGAGAAAATTGTCGCTGGTGTCCTCGAGATAAAGAATGCCATGCTCAGGGAAGCTTGCTTAACAAATGCTCACGAACGGAGAATATTGTAAAACCTGCGGATTGTGACAAAATAATTTACGCTAAATACGATAAAGACTTAGCGTACAAAATGATTTACCTCTCTGCATTAGCGTACGCTGACGATGTCGCTAAGTACATACCGAAAGCAAGCGATGTCAACACATTTCAACTCGTGAAGCAGGTGACAAAGCCGTGCTCAGGAGGCGCAATGTGCTCTGGTTTTGTTGCTGTCTCTCACTCAGAAAAAGCCATTGCTGTAGCATTCCGTGGTACTCAACACATTAAGCAGTTGGTCAATGAAATACTTCGCATATTAACAGAGCCAAAGCAATCTTTTCAACCAGGCGGAAAGGTTCAAGTTTACTTTCTGGATGCATTTCAAATTGTGTGGAACGACTTGCAAAACTTTGTTTACGAAGAGATCGAAAAATATCCAAATTATAAAGTCTGGGTAACAGGACATTCTCTGGGCGCCACTCTTGCATCTCTTGCAAGTACTCTTATTGCATACAAACAGAAGACAACAAAAGATAATCTTATTTTATATACTTTTGGGCAGCCCAGAGTCGGCAATTACGACTATGCTTTGGCGCACGATGGATTAGTTCCACTAAGTTTTAGGGTGACGCATTCTCGTGATATTGTTGTTCATTTGCCAACCTGCAATGTAGTCGTGCCCGGAACTCCCTGCGTTGCCTTCGGAGGCGGGCCTTACCACCACGGCAAAGAAATCTTTTACGGAAGCGAAATTATGACCAAATCGTCGTCTTATGAAGTATGTGAAGGATTACCTCACAACGAAGATTTAGGTTGCAGCAATAATCCTTTAGTGTGGTCGAAATGCTTTTCTTTGGAATTACCGGAATGTATTGATGACCATCAGCAGTATTTTAGCATCAAAGTTGGAACGTGGTGGAAGAACCAATCCTAAACTAACTGGGAACGTTTATTTTATATAACTCCATAATATTAGAACTTAATCCTAGGGTTATTGTATATCACGCTGAAGCATAAAATTAGCGTTGACTCAAGTTGTATAAATGGTCAGAGTAATAGATCTTAGATACATGAAGCGATTCATTCATAGCAATTCTCCTTTCAGGCCTCGTCGTGTATTCACTTTCCAAAGACGATTTCAGTGTCTGGAAGTTTTCACTAGTCGACTTAAGATATTAAAATATAGAATGTAATCCTTTAAAATATAAAAGGGCATAACCTTCCCCGTCTTGCCCCTGCTAGTAAAACGCAAGGTGGGCAGCTGCCTCTGCTGCCACATCCCCCCCCCTTGTTCCGGTGTCCCTAGAGGTTCTCAAATTTCGCTGCTGATATACAAGCAATTATATCAGCAAATGATGTAATTTTGAAAAGCACGTGCGAAATTTTGCATTTGACGCTTGACATATATCTTTTAAACTTCTTGCTAACAGCATGCTCACAGCACATGATGGTGCAGAAAAAATGCAGGAGTTTTTTTATACATGAATTTGCTGGCCTTTGAGCCTGGTTTTGTTATCATAATTCTTCGTACGACTCGTTGCAAGTCTGCATGTATTTGATAAAGAAAAAAAACCTTTGACGAATTTTATGCACCACAATTCTCATGTTGTGATGAGCCAAACGTTATTCAACCAGGATATTATACTCCCAGTGCTGACTATACATCAGGTAATATTATGCCTAGCAGCGGAGACCTTGAAGCTACCATTTATCACTTCCGTATGAAATTTTTATCCGCGCTTTCAGTTTGTTCGAACATAAGTATACAATTTGCGATTTCCAGGGAACGACGTTTGATGAATGCCACGCTATCTGCTGCTGATTAATGCGACGTTATATTCCGGTATATTCGCCCTTACCATTGTCACCTTACCATGGACTATACCGTGACTTTCACCTAGGTCGAATATACGATAATTACCAATTATACCACGAGCTCGAGTCGTATATGAGCTTATAGCCGACGAGGCGCGTAGTACCGAGTCGGCTATCAGCCATACACGACGAGGGCCAAATATTGATTTTTTTGTCTTTCTGGGGACAGCACTCTCCAGAATTCTGTCAATTTCGTCTTTACTGATTTACCCCAGCAAATCGGTCAGCCATTTTGCTTTTTCTTTAGTTTTGCTACCCACCGTATATTAGCTGATATGTGGTGAGTAGCTCGACCAATCAGATTGCGGAACAGCTTATATACAGTGAATAGCTATATTCACAATTCGGTATATTCGACCAGCTAATTTTAAGATTTTTTTATCGCTCATCATCACAATAGTATACGGGGGGAGAGGAGGTGCATGATAAAAATGGTCGAAACTAAAAATTGGAAATTTAAAGATGGGGGATTGTAGGGGGTCTGCAGAACCTCTCGCGGAAAATGTCCCGTATTTTTAAGTCCTTATGACTTGATTTCCTGCATTTTGGTAGACAATTACTGATGAATCCATCTCGGCAGAGTGAGGTCTGGTGAGAAAATACCATTTATCACTGTATAAATTGGTTATCACACTGAACACTGAAATTAGGTATGATTTAAAGTTACTATATTCTCTTGTACCCCTATTGTAATTATGCGTAAAACGCGCCTTCCTTGACCATCCGAATGCTGAGACATCACCCACTTCTTTAGCAATTCATATAAGGCCGTTGCCCATTCATAGAACACTTAATTATGTTATGTTATTATTAATGTATGCGTTCCAGTTCAATGTGCATTCTGAGAAAATTTTCATATTTCATCAGAAACCGACGGCATCCTGTGGGGATAAACACGTATAATTGTTGTACCACTTGCATTTCAAAAGTGTATGAACAATATGTCAAGGATGGATATCACGAATAAAAACATGTTTTTGTTGTGCATCGTGTTTGTTTTTCTTTCTTTTAACTATTCCAACGCCCTCCTTTTTGGTAGTAATTGCAAGGATGAAAACGACTGCATTTCTTGTACGAAACACAAAACATGGTCTGGAGAAAATTGTCGCTGGTGTCCTCGAGATGAAGCATGCCATGCTCAGGGAAGCTTGCTTAACAAATGCTCACGAACGGAGAATATCGTAAAACCTGCGGATTGTGACAAAATAATTTACGCTAAATACGATAAGGACTTGGCGTACAAAATGATTTACCTCTCCGCATTAGCGTACGCTGACGATGTCGCTAAGTACATACCGAAAGCAAGCGAAGTCAACACATTTCAACTCGTGAAGCAGGTGACAAAGCCGTGCTCAGGAAGCGCAATGTGCTCTGGTTTTGTTTCTATTTCACAATCAGAAAAAGCCATTGCTGTAGCATTCCGTGGTACTCAACACATTAAGCAGTTGGTCAATGAAATACTTCGCATATTAACAGAGCCAAAGCAATCTTTTCAACCAGGCGGAAAGGTTCAAGTTTACTTTCTGGATGCATTTCAAATTGTGTGGAACGACTTGCAAAACTTTGTTTACGAAGAGATCGAAAAATATCCAAATTATAAAGTCTGGGTAACAGGACATTCCCTGGGCGCTACTCTTGCATCTCTTGCAAGTACTCTTATTGCATCAGAACAGAAGACAACTAAAGATAATCTTATTTTATATACTTTTGGGCAGCCCAGAGTCGGCAATTACGACTATGCTTTGGCGCACGATGGATTGGTTCCCCTAAGTTTTAGGGTGACGCATTTTCGTGATATTGTTGTTCATTTGCCAACCTGCAAAGTAGTCGTGCCCGGAACTCCTTGCGTCGCCCTCGGAGGTGGGCCTTACCACCACGGCAAAGAAATCTTTTACGGAAGCGAAATTATGACCAAATCGTCTTCTTATAAAGTATGTGAAGGATTACCTCACAACGAAGATTTAGGTTGCAGCAATAATCCTTTAGTGTGGTCGAAATGCTTTTCTTCGCAATTACCTAAATGTATTGATGACCATAAGCAGTATTTTAGCATCAATATTGGAACGTGGTGGAAGAACCATACACACCACGAAGAACCATCCTCAAATGCAAATTCTCCAATACGACACCTTGATTTATACCATATGATCGGTCAAATAATCTTAGGTTTATTGTATGAGATGCAAATATCACGCTGAAGCATTAAATTTAAATTAGCCTCGACTCCAGTTGTATAAATGGTGAGAGTAATAGATCTTTGATATACATGACGCGATTCATTGATGGCTATTCCCTTTTCAATATCTCGGAACCAAACTTTTCAGGCAGAGTCCTAATTTTTGGATGTTCTTTTCAGCTGAAGTTTCATAGTTTTAGATTTAGTTTAAACGGCGGAATGGTTTCTATTTTTTGTCCATTATACTAATATAATAAATATAGGGACGCCAGAACGATGCGAGGGCAAATAGTGCAGGTTTTCGTGCAACGGCACTCCTGTAGGCTGTAGTGGTGAATGTTTGCAAACTTACAATATATCTGTTGAACCTCGTTTCAACGATCCTCGTGTCTGGGAGTTTGCACCAGACGACCTAAGATATTCGTTACTTATATTCCCTACATTTAAGATGATTGTGAATATGTATATTGTAGTGATGTAGCTAAATCATGTAATCAGACGAGACTTGGCAGAAGAAAGTCACCAAAAAAAACTATAGGTATATATGCTTCATAAGTGGAATGGCAAACTGTGTTTTCATCATTTTTTAACTGTCTGGTTAATTAAGTTGCATTGCTCGCTATAAGGAGAAGAAAAGGTAATTTCATGTCACTGACAGCTGTTTAAACGGAAGATGAACCATATAAGGAGGCGAATACTAACCACAATCCCATAAATATCATCCATGAATGATAACTAATAGCTCAGGTCAGGCATTGCTAATTTCATAAAAATGACATACGTGCATGTATCGCCAATTGAGTTAATAAGTTTTTTTGAAATAACGGCCCTCCTCGGAGAAAACTGTTAAGAACAATAAAAGGCATTATAAAAGGCATTTATTTTTCTTGAGACACATATAGCGGCAAATATTGGACGCTAACAAACCTCGTCAAAACCCAAATCCTAAAGTTTATAGATTTTAAACCTCAAATGGTCTAATATATAATATATCGACTGCAATCAAGGGGAACGAACGCATTCAGGAATTGCTTCAAGCATTTTAATGAGAGAAATGCTATTGGAATACTTTTTTCCTCCCATGCATTAACTTTTTATATCACATAAAAACAGGAAGAGACAAAGCTACATCATATGGAAGATGAATGGTATGCAATATTGTAATATAAATTGGGCTCATTTCGTATTTGTATAGCCTTTAGGCAATCCGGCTTTCGGTATTTTAGGTATATAGCAAACCTATTAAAGTTATGTGAAAAACAAACAAACAAATATAGACTGAAGTATATAGATCTAGAACCCATAGCGGAGTCTGTAGCACCGCGACACGCAATCTTCTTCTTTGTCATTTTGTAGGAATAATACACGACTCTTTCTAAGATTGCGAAACACTTTGGTGATACGCCAAATTGCAAGAAGCCAAAAAGGGAGTGAAAAATTGCTGTCGAATCAATACCCTTATACCCTGACTGACTAAACGAAAATGATGAAGCGTGGATATTGTTACCATGCATCCCTCTACCTCGTGTCGCTATGGAACTTTCGATGATGATGGCATGGTATTCCGTTTCACTATGTTTCTTGGCAATCCTATTGTGTTCCTACTTACTCTTGCTTTTATCAACAGGAACTGAATACGTCAAACATATCCAAATATCCTATAGATTATGAATGTAGCCTAATGCATTAAAATGTACTTTTTACGTTCTTTTTGATAAGTAAGTCTGGTTTCCAACGAGACGTGAGAGCTTTCAAATTTTTTCACAGCTTCAACAATATTGTCTCAGCCATAGGTCACTGGGTCAAGGGCATAAGAGTGATGAAGCGCAAAGGAAAACACAATAAGTGGCCAAGTGGGCGCTGTTGGGGGTCAATGAATAGCCTCCCTTGTATTAGGATAAGTATGGATTCAGCTTATCATGGACTCCGAAGTTCATGAATCATGGAGTTTTTCTTGTGAAATGAACTTTTTATGCAGAGAATTTTCATCGGGTTTCTACTTCTATACGACTACAATTTAGCCCCGCGATGATCATCAGCTGAAAAACTATTTAGGTCGTGAACTTCGCCCTCTGACACTGACAGTGTCAGTGCTGACCTATAGTTATAGAGGAATCCAGAATCCATGCCAGGTTGCATGGACATAATCCGCATCACGTAAGTTCAGTTTATTATTTGTATTCACTTAAAGAAACGGAAATTGTATGTACTTGCAATTATAATTAAGACTTTTCCAACTGCGTGAATTGAGCCGCAAATGGCACAGAACACAAACACGGAAGAGAATTCCGAACGATTTAATATTTAAACCCGGAGAAAGTCACCAAAAGCACCTTAGCGAAAGAATTTTTTTGAGAACTATTACTGGAGGAAGTATGTCAAACAACTCAACGACCGATGGCACAGTTGAAAGTTGTTTCAAGACGTACATTGTTTTGGAACCAACGACGGCATACATAATCAATAGTATAATTGGTTGCATCGTAAACATCGTGTTTGCTGTGGCAGGAACATTTCTGAACGCACTCGTAGTATGCGTTTTTTGGAAAACACCAAAACTCCGACTAAAAGTGACGTATTTTATGATTATGGTCCTATCAACGATTGATCTTTCAGTCTCAATCATCGTACACCCATTGCATGTTCTTAATTCTATAGCGGAGATCACTCAAGCTGCGAAGTGCGGCTATAAAATGTTCTACCAGACATCAGCCGTGATTTTTTCAGGAATGTCGTTTTTAACTTTCTTTGTTATGAATTGTGAAAGATATGTATCAATAGTTCATCCATTCTTTCATCTTAACCACATCTCTAAACAAAGATGCCTTTTCGTATCTTCTTTGACTTGGATTATCTGCCTCGTCACTGGCATTGCGCCCATATTTGCTTTGGATATTCAAAATTTCATCACAGTACTTGCTATCGTTGTGATTATTGGCACATTCTATATTTATGTGAACATATTTATCGAAGCTAGAAAGAGGCAAAACTCTAGAGGAAGATCTGTAAGTGGAGTAACGGATGAACTAGACATCAGTCATGACAGTTCAAGAGGGGCAGAAGCGATTCAGTCTAAGAAAACAGTTTCTTTTTTGCATGATATTCAGCTTGCAAAAATGTACTTATTGGTTGTTCTTTCAAGTATTTTTTTGAACCTACCGAATGCTATCGTTCTTGCGATGTATTCACAGCGTGTGAAAAGTGTGAATGTAATTGTCCATTTGAAAATATGGACTGTTACTTTGGTTGCAATGAACTCAACAATGAATTGTTTAATATTTTTTTGGTTAAATAGAAGGCTGAGAAAGGAAGGATGGAGAATATGTAAAAACGTTTTTAAATTTGGTGCCTGAATTTACTTTCATAACGATTTCGAGAACGTAGATGAACATTAATATAGCCTGACTGCATAGTGTTCTGGGACTTACACTATATGTACACAAAAACAAAAAGAGTTAGGCCGCACATGTTGTCTTAACTGATTATCAATTTAATGTAAATATAAACTTAGTTTCCTGCTCGATTGATTTGTTCATAAATCCATGTTTAGTATAACTGATTTGAACACGCCAGAATGTAATATGCGCATCCACGATGATGGAGAACAGCAAGAATATACGCTATATGCATGCAGCTTATGCTGAAATGAGACTGAGTAAAAGTACATATAAGGCATGCATTTAAAGCAATATGGCTATGTAAAGTCCGTGTAAAGTGAAGTGTAAATAGACTGAAGAGAATTAAAGTTAACTTCGCATGGAGTGTAACGGCCCACATCTAATGATAATGGCATCCTATGCGGCATGTTTGGATTTTCATTGAAATTTCGGTGCAGCATTTTAATTTGTATTAAAATCATATGCGGCTCATATACGATTCTGCATCTATAGATATAATTTTTATTGAAAATAGACGTGGAAGATGTAATTGTAATTATAATTATTTGATCGTTTTTAGATTTGTAAAATACATGCAGATAATCACATGTCTGAGACGAATCATGCAGCAGCTGATAGCCTTGTATGGGCACCAGCGGTGGGATTTCCGCATATCGTTGTAATGATTGTAATCGAATGCAGTTCAATAAAAGAATGGGAATACATGGACATAGTATACATATTTCCGTCAGTGGCCGGAGACTTGAGCCGAAAACTAATCAGAAAACGTCTTTGGCGCTTTGCACCCCAGTGTTAACTATGTGATATAATTTGTCGGCGAATATTTGTTGTTTATACCCTTATGACTTTATTTAATAATGATAACATACGGAAATTCTACAACCCTTAGAATTTTTCTGGAGCGATCACTATTAGACATTTGTGCCTAGATGGCGAGATCAGTCAGATTCAGTTCACATTATTTTCGACTATATACTAGTTTTTTGGAAGTGTTTTTTACTAGTTCACATTCAGAGCTCCGGCGCACAAACATCAGACATTCAGTTATCTATTTGTACTTGTGGGGCAGAGATTAAAATAAGAAAGAGATAAGTCTAAGAATCAGAACGCATTTCAAATGTATGTTAATTCTTGTCTATACTTCAAGGAGAAATAAATGCATGCAGAAATATATAATAATAATAATAATAATGCGTCCTATAATCCTATTGTACCCAAATAAAGTATTTATAATGATAAATTTCAACAGCCTGATATAACACCACTATAATGATGAATTAGTCAAATGGTTATAAAGCAAAACCATGCAAGGATTTTTCTAGGTCGTTGAGTCATCGATGCCACATGCAGTCATGCAAATAAACACATCTGATCATAAATATTGAAGGGGGTTGGATTAATCAGTTTTGCAGGTTGACGATCATTGTAAAGAGTTGTACAGGTAGTAATTTTTTGCATGGGTGTTGGAAGCTAATTTTACACTGACTGAAAAAGATAACCAGGTAGAGTGTTCTTGGAATATGTTTTTCTATCATGGATGTTACTGACTTATTTTAAAAACTACCCTTAAGCAAATTTAAGACACATTAAGTTATAATGCATGCATGCATTTATAAAAAAGTAATCCAACTTTGGCAAATCTGGCCGCTATCCGTGCCAAGAAAAATACCCTCATAATTACCATAGTTCATATACCATGTTTTACCTACATAAAGTCAATAATCGTGATATAATTTAGATATCAAATGGCACCTTTGTATATCCCTGCCATTAATAACGGCCCAACATTGAGTCATATTATATCTTCACGAAAGCTCTGCAGGTATGTTTACTGAGTTTCAACCCTTGAAAATCTTTTTCATTTATGTTGTATACATACAGAAGCGAGTATAGGTGTGTAGCATGAAAATTTTAGATTGAGACATCAGACATTCTTAAATCTTCCTAAGCGTATATAACAATCGTCTTTAGCTATGCGCACTATGATCACGAACCCGAAACGAGAATAACGTCTTTAACAGATCTTGCGTGTGCGCTTGACTCTCATGGAGCCATGCATTAAAACGTTTGATTCAAAAGGTATAATTCTAGAGGTTTGTATATAGTGAGCTATTAGTTTTGCAATGCCAATGATTAAAAAAGGTATCTTTCATAGCTAAAAGACTAAATGAAATTTATGTGAAAAAGGCAAGTCTGGCATAAGTTTATAAACTATATACATAGCTACATATAATCATGCAGCACATGCATGCAAAATGGTTGCTATGCAATAAACTTTAACTAAACCAATCACAGGCGTGATATAGCCTATAAGCTTTAATTGAACGTGCATGGCATCAGTTCACACTTCATACTCGTAACAGTATTGCGAATAGTGCACGGTGTTAAACAAAAAGAAAGTTGAAATTAGAGGTACTCCGGATATGTACACAACCTTCATTTGGAACATCAGAGGTATCTGAAAATAGAGAGAATTTGACAGCATATATAAAGGTAGCCTATCACATCCTAGTGATAAACAGTTTAGTGTGGGAAAATCAAAAGGTTCATGCATCATACTTTAGAGAGGATTATTGGTTGCCTTGATCATTTTAGATATTTAAAAGAGGCGGCACGGATGCATGTTTTCTTAAAGCGAAAACAGAATTTTAGAATATATGTGTCTCTCTGTTATAATAAATTATGTCCTCTGTTTCTGTGTAGCCTACTGTTGATAAGGTGTACTTGTTGGGTTAAGTCAATAGAGCTGAGAGTTCCAACAAAAATGTGTTGGAATTTTATTCATGTACATTATAGACAGAACACAAGACATGCATGCTACTGTATTCATTAGGCAGTATTGTCGTCGTTGAACGTCATATAATTTATTCGATCCTGTGAAATCACGTTCACGAAAAAACTGAATCACGTTCTTTCCTTTGCCTGAGTGCATGCATGATCTTTGCAAGATCTTTGCATGCATCGTTCTTTAATTTGGAGCGTGATCGGTACAAATAATAATTTTCACATGCTGACGAAGAAATAATAAAAAGATAATAGAAATTTTCCCTACTATTTTGTAATTATATTCATATTATATAAAGCTACTATTTTCTACAGGGAGTCCTATAGAGATGGTACCTTAATGAAATGATCTATATTGTTGTTTTGCCCCATTAGTTCAGAAAATCACGTTTTACAACAGCATGGTATGAGTTTGACACATCTTACATAACTGTCCCAACATCTCTGCTTTCTTACCTTGCAAACCAATGGATTCTTCCCAAAGTGCGTTCTTCAAATCAGGGAACTCATGATATAGACATGCATGTTTTGCAGGTGTAGCACCATCAGTTACGTTTATTAAATCTTCAGGTTTTGATGTTTCCATCTGTCTGATTGTCAGCAATTCTCTTTGATCGTCATAATTTTCCAGCATTGTTTCTAAATGATCAATCCATTTTATAGCCTGTCTCAGAATCTCGAGTTTGCTGATGTCAACATTAGGCAAAGGCAATGCTCTTTTAAGATAAACAAAACCATGGTTGAGTTCTTCAACACGTCGTCGTTCCCTTGCGTTTGCTTCGCGTCGTTTACGACTGATTCCTGTCAACGATCTCCTTTTTCGACGTTTTCGTTTCTCTTCTTGAAGATCTTTTTTCTCGGGAGTCTCTGAAACATTCGTTTGGTCGGGATGTTCCTCGCGTAATTCTGGAAACAAATCTGGGGATTCAAACAGGGAGAGGTCGATGTTTAGACTAGAGGCAGGTAGTTTGAATTCCCCCAAAGAATTTTCCATTCTTTTCAAATAAATTTTCATCTTATGGGAAGTGATGCTATGCAGTTATAAATGCATGAAAGGTCCAAGTTAAATATGCACCTGATACATATTTATACCAATCATTACTTTCGAAACTTAGCCTTAGTTGCTGTGGGCTTTATTTGTTGCAGACTCATAATCCCTTTCACTTATTGGATATAGCCGTTCACAGTTTAGCCCACACATATTTACATAGAAAACGTGAATGAAATAAAAAATATAAACTAAAATATCGATTACAAACTCTCTTAAATATTATATGCATTACAAGCATGCATACATGTACACCGAATGACATTTATAAATTTAAGAGCGTAATATTTGTTTATTATGAATAGTATTGGAGCCAGGTCATTTGGTATATTCATGCAGAAAATCCATCTTGCTTATATATGTATAACCTTTATGATCTATTTTGTCTCATGCTTTTAATTTTAGCCTTAGTATCTTGAAGGTAACTTGAAGTATAAATAATTTTGTGCAAGGTATATGCATGAGCCAGGGTGGTCGTGAAGTGTGCACATACAAGATATGGTTTTGCATGTTGTTCAATATATTTCATTCATTGGTATATATATTTAGGTTGATCTTTTGCATGCATGTCTTACGTACATAGCCTATCACATTCTAATTATAATTTAGAAACCACTTTTACACTAAAATCTATCTTTTTCTCACGATCTGTACGATATATCTTCCAGGAGATTCTATGTAATCTTATGGCAACAACAACAGACTAATTGTCGAACCATGGGAAAATTCAGAGGGTAAATGCTTTCGGAAATTGCTCGGAAATAAATGGAACCGTATAATCCACCGGCTATTTCTCTGTTATTTGCAGACTCTTTTATGCTGTTAGCTTAAAATGCGTTTCTCAAAGCACCAAATCGACGAAAGTGCCAGATAATAGCCACGAATATACGATCGAATTTCTGAAATTCCAAGTTTCCAGTTGTGTTGCATATTGCTATTGAAAGCAACTTTACTTATAACTATATACGACAGGGTAGATGCATTGCTCATACGCTAAATTGTATATATAGATATATATATTCATAGCCGTTATCAAGTGACTTAATAGAATTCTGCTACAATTTAAATACGATGTGTACAACCAGGGTATTCACCACAGTCCCCCCGTTACGATGATCCATTAATCAAACTATTTAGACGCATGCCTAAAGTACTTAGTACACTGAGAGATTAAATTGCATCATTTTTTGCTGGTACGTATCACTAATCCTAACCCTATCATCTTGGGAATCAGTGTGTTAAACTGAATTGCTTGGCATTCGTTGTACCTGCATTGTGTAATCAACTGTGCATATGTACATATTGTGTATATGTACATATAGTTTCAGATAAACGCGTCAACTGTCGTGTATTAACTATAAAGATAGCAGTTAATTGCGACTACCACACCCTACACTAGGGCATGGAGAGTAATTGAATTAGAACCGGCAGCAAGTATAAAGTTATAAAAAATAATACATGCACTCGCTCAGCTTATAGGGTGTTGAGCATTATGCTTGAACATTTTGTCATAAGGCGCGAGATATTGATTTATAAGCCGTAAGAAGAATTTTTATAGGTTTTTGAAATGCACACAAGTCACTATATAGAGATACTATTATTTACCTAAAACTGAGGTTGATTACGACTCCAAGTTTTCGAGAAGAGTTCAGATTATTACTTACCTAAATTCATTGAAAGAAAGAATTAAACATACTGTATTTGGATATAAAAATCATGACATTTTCCTTAATAAAGTTGGCTTAGTATCTGCACCCTTATATGTGCGTTTTGGAGCACTCATGCCTGCAGCCTGCCCATGTCATGAGATATTTTTGGCTAACTATAAGTACAATAATGCCTTGACTGAGAAAATTTCGATTGACTTAGCAAAATGACATGTCAGACAAAGACCCTTATCTTTTTCAAAAAAATTGATTTGTAGTATGCATTTAATGATATAAATTGACCTGAAACTAATGTGAAGCTTTAAATAGGCATATATTTATTCTATTTCGAGGACAGAATCAGTTTCTAGTCCCTCCTGAGTTCTAAATCTACATATTGCAGGTATATTTTTATACATGTGCATAGCAACTATGATGGGTAGTTTCGCTAGAAAGTCTTTCGATGTCCTGTTAGGGGTTGTCAAGGAAAAGATCGTTGTTAGGAACGCATACCGATTATTCCTTTATTAATAAGATTAAGATCGAGATTAAGATGTATATAATACGCACTTGTAAAAACACTACGATCCTATACATGTATTATAGTAAACTGGAGGTAACTGGGACGAGAAATAGGAGAGGTATATACGCATAGGCCACTCCATAATTTTCTAAAAAATTAGGGCAGTTTCGTCCATTAGTCTAAATATTCCTTTTTGCTATACGTTATATTTCATCTTGTTGTCATATTGATATTTGATAGACTAAGTCAAGTATCTGGACGAAAACAATAGATGAGAAGATCATGAGATACAGTAAACACCGCAGCCTGTTAGGTATTTTAATACTCTTAAAAGGCTTTTTCAATGTCACGTTACACGTGCTTAAAACTCAATATAATGACGATATAACAGATTTTTGTATCTTTTATACGTTCTCTAGCTAAAACATATTTAATAAAGCAGGATCGATGTTTGAACATCATGCAGAGTTGCAGACCCGCACACTCTTCAACCAGATAAATGCTAAAAATGGTTTGCAGATGAAACGTTATGACGAAAATTATGTTTCAAATGAGCAAATTTTATCTTCATCTTTCCATAAAATCCATCTCGAAAAATTTAAACCCCTTTTCGTATAAGAAATTGAAGAAGAGGATTATAGGTACATATAATAAGATTTCAGAATAGGTTATGGTAAGGTTATATAAGTTAGGTTGGGTTTAGATAGGTTTAGTTACGCTGGGGAAAAAACAATGGGTATTTATTCAAGATGCCTAATTAACTAATGCTTTAATGGACTTAATGCTTTCGCACATGAAAAGCACGACGTTCACAACTGGATTTAAAAGTTAAAGTTCTCAACAAATTGCTCCTTGAAACCTAAGAGGTGCGCCATAGACTGCCAACCAACACCACAGACTGCGTTTATGAAGTCAGTTCAACCCGAAAATCTAGTCACGATTGTGCATTTCTGTATCGATATCAAAGAGAAAACTATTGGATATAACTTTAAAAGTTCAACTTTTTCTCTGAATACGAATTCTGCAATCTTTTGACAGCTCATCATACACACAGCTGTGAAATGGCAATTTTGAGGCTTAAAGTATACACAGGTTATTAACTTCAGACGATTCGTTTTTGCCGTGTGCACTGAAGCCTCAAATATTTGTGCAAGACATTGATGATTGATTTTGTTTTGCTCCCAAGCTTGAAGCCTAAGTATTCAGACTTACGGTTGAATATCGAGAAGTCTTGCCAATTTCTGCGGTATCCTGCCAATAAAAATATGTAAGCTGTCATTTAAGGGCGAATAGCGATCTATGCAACTATTTCATGAATTTCATGATAGTAAAGTGTCCGGAGAAGTTTATTTAAATCAAGATCTTTACCCATGCATTTCTGCTTCCACAAATGTTGATGAATTTTGAGCGAATATTGCATATATCACATATCGTCTCAGTACTATGAGTCGTACGAACCTATTATCCGTCACATCTGAAATTGCGATGTTTTGAAGTTTTGAACTTTTAAGAGGTCGTTCCGCACAGAATCTCCGTCAAAGATCGCAGCAGTCATGTTACGTGTTCTTCGTTTTAAAACAGGAAGATGATATCGTAGATTGATGTAAAATTCTGGCAAACTCTTTGTTAGCAATGCCCGCAGAGAACTAATTTTCATATTGTGAACAAAACATAAAACAATGAGTTAAATAACTCTGTTTGTAAACGGTTTTGAATCAATTGTGTTTGAAACTTAAGCCTAGATTTCCCTTGCAAAATACAATCAAAGGGTGAAGGGAAAGGCCAAGACCTCCTCCGAGATTTAGAATTTTCTTTGGTAAGTTTTCTTTTGTTTTTCCTTTGTTTAGTGGTGCGTTAAAGTCCCAGACAACAGATTGCTTCCGGAGTGGGTCAAATTTTTGTAGCTATTATAAAAAGCAGTAAGATTTTACTGTCAGAGATCGAAATAAATATACCAAATCTACTGATCAAACTAAAAAGCATTTGTAACTAACCATTGCCCTTTAAAGGCAAACGAAGATATCGTGACAGGCAAATCCCGTACAGTGTAAACGGGGTCTCAATACTTATGTCGCACCACTTCAGTTGATTTCTGAAACCTAAAACTGTTACTAAGCACTTGACAGAGTATGCTCAATTAATAGGGTGCAAATAAGGCTCTGCCCAAAAAGTAAAAAAAGATCCGGAAAAATCACCAACTAAGCGAATTCCCGTTTTTATTTTTTACTGTAAGAAGAATAAAAAATTAATTAATGTCCATTTCTTGTCAAGTTTATACCTCACATGGACAAAAAGCTCGTCTACAGGCGAACGTCGCATATGTACAGTATTGTCAGTAAACAAACAGCAAATAACACGATTAATGAGCAACCCGCATTGTTTTACAGCTATCAAGCGCACCAAACAATAATGACAGGGAAGTCATGTCATTCTAAATTCATCACTTGGAATATACTGTAATGCTGTATAAATCTATGTATATGAATAAATAGATCTGGCAACAGGATTCTGTCATTCTGCTCTTTTAATAGATTTTGGTGAGAATTGCAAGTTTTTACGAAATTGAAAGTTTTTTAATTGTCTTGAATTGAAGAGTTTGTTTAGTTCTGATCGGCCTCTTGAGTGGTAGCATTTGGAGGTTTTTAGAGTACTTGCAGAATGCAGATCATGCAAGATGAAAAGGCTGTGAAAAATTCTGTATTTATATTTAATTTATATATGAAGTATCCCACAAGACAGCTGACCTGAAGCAAGATTGAGCCGAAATATGGAGGCTGGTGAATTGAATTTCGTATGTGGAAAGGAAAAAATGCCTGGATATAATATAAAATTTGTCGTTTTCTAACACTTTTATAATGTGGAAGAAACGTTTAATACCTAGTCGATTTCCTGGACGGAAGACACATATTTAAAGCAACGGTATCTACTGCCATTTACTGGAATTAAACCAGTGTACACATCACAAATACGCGTAAGTCCAATTTAATATGACTTCATTTTAGGTTTTGTACAGCTTTAAAATTTATCATTCTTCAAATGGAGATCATCAAAAAGAAATAAAATGACTTATTTGCGAAATAGCAAGGAAAATACTTTGTCTTTTTGTTTTTGTCAATTTTGTTAGATAAAGGGGAGGGGAGGGGTGGGGTCCGTGGGTATACTTGTTCTGGCTGGTAATTTGATAGTCCCAACGCATTGACTAATTTTGGTTTGTAATCTTCTTCCTAGAATTGGAGTTTCATGATGATTAAGTTGGACCTCTATTCTATGATATGATGTACACCTTAACTTCAGTTGTGTGAGCTATGACAGCTTCATTCTATTGCATTATGTAACTAGTTGACATTTTATCACCAAAAGGAGTTTTAAACCATTATATACCTGAAATTATTTGATGACAGGTTGAAAGTACTATTTAATGCTAAGTAAGGAATGTACATATGACTCACAACTAAGAACATTCCAAAATGGATTAATATAGTTAAAAAACAATATTTTCATCCAAAATAGCTGTAACAAGTTCTTGCAGTTTCTCTCCCTCAGCATAGTCCTCAGATACCGCTCTCTTAAAATCCACTTTTATGCAAATTACATGGTCTTCATGGTTTACTTGTGGTTGTTCAAAGCAAAATGGAATTATCCGGTTATCATTTTCAAGCCCAGTACCTTCTCTTAAAGATTCTAGGTTGCATTCTGTCAACAAACACAAGAGGGTAACATGCTTCTTCCTTTTTATCTGCTTCTTAATCCATGCAACAATGGCATCTTTTTTATCATTTGGAAACTGACCGCCATCTGGTACCACCGAGAACATGAAGTCTTCTTTGTCATCACTGTTATTTTGTTTGTTGAGTTGTGGAGGCATTGTAATATTTATTTTCCTGTCTGAATTTAACACTCTACAGAAAAACTTCATTTCTGGGAATTCAGGTTCATTGTGTAGAACAAGTAAGCTTACTTTTCTTTCTGATCTAGGCCTCGACACCACCTCTTCCTCTTCTGGTTCAGATTCCTCGGTAGATTGTTTCCCACCCATTTTGTTCCTGGAAAGTAATTTGTGTGAATTTATTTAGTCATATGACTCTCTGATCCCTGATGAACAAATAAAGTAAATATAATCTTCAATGTTAAAAAAACATTATTTTAACTTTATTCACCAATTGAAGCATGATATACCATTAATTTAAATTTCAGTTAATTAATAGAGCCAGAATGAAATGCCTATTTCACATGCCTCATGCTTGTGCTAGCATTAATGTTAGGTTGAAAGTTGACATAACACCATTGGATACAAAACACCATTGGATACAATATGCCAATAATAATACTTAGTACACGCTTTACTGTCAATGACCCCTTCGATTCTAAACAGTCCATGGTCGTAAAGACGTTTGTACTATTAAACGAATCTTGTACAATTTGGTATTCATCACCTTACATCATGCTTTGATATGCTACAAAATTACATGATGAAAGGCGAGTATGTGCCCTTTACCTCCACATACTGTCATTAGAGGCAAATAATAAAACATTCTGTTCACTTAAATCCTATCTTCATGGTAAGAAATTATCCACAACGATGCTATTCGAGTATAAAAAATATATGAATACGTACAACAGTGGATATCAATCAAGGCAATAGGTGTAACTCAATTTAAAAAATCCCCTACCTCAGCCAATTCAACATGAATTCTCCTTAAATGCCAAGATATAAATTGGACTCTCCGACTCTTCTATTATCCTGATAGAAACTGTTTGAGCTCTTGTTAGGAAAATGAAATATCTGGTACATTCATGGAAGGCGTTGTTCTGTTCTCGAAGACTTGAACGTATGAGTCGTCGCTGATGTCACGCTTACGCATTGAGCCCGCGTTTCGCAGAGTGTCATTTTTTAACACTATTTGTTCACCAGACCTCACGAAGGTGTTACACCCGTGTGCAAACTGCGATGGTTTAAGGCAATGTGCACATGGTTCGTTTTCAAGCGTTTTCATTTGTTTTTTTTACACCAAAAATGTTGCAAACGCCATCAATTTAGAATGGAGGTTCGAGGTAATTTAGTATATTGAACATTTTACCTCTGGCATGACAAAAACATTTTTGAAAACGCTAAAACGACGCTTGTGTGCATAAAGCCTTAGCGTAAAAATTAACCAGCAAATGAGCTGGTTACTCTTTGAAACTCTTCCCTCAAGTAATCAAGTTGTGCAGATTCATGTTTTCCAAATGTACATACGGTCGTCAACCCTTGATTGCTTTTATGGATTTTTGTGTTGCTATTTTTCTACGCGATTTTTGTGACAATGCGCTGTAAGGTAGATTTTCGTTACAATAACTCAGGTAAATTGGGTACTACACAGTACAGCCTACGAAACAAATTACGACACCCAAAATGCTTTGCAGCAACCGAAGTTCTCGTGACACATGATGATGATGCACAAAGTGAATTTAAGTTTTACTTTTGGCAAAGATCGCATGTGTGTTTTTTTTTCAGTCCTCGAAGTTGCTGAAAATATTGCATCGTGTGGCAGCAGCACCTTATAGATCTATGTAAGATGTAAGCATTGGGAAACAAATATGGGCATTCAAATTGACAAGATTGATTACCTGATCTCTGACAGGGTGATCCAGTGATGTGGTTTCCTTGGTGGTTCCTTAAAATGATTTGGAATGATAGACTAGCTGAAATATACTCGTCTACCACTCCAAGTACTAGAACACGAACGCCGAAGCTTGCATGTATATTTCGTAGTTTATGACAGACCGACAGTAGGAAGCACGTATGATAACAGACCGGCTTTGCTATGTATTGCTTCTTGTCTTTAAAGATAATTTCTTAGTGAATACTGTAGTATCCTAGCAAATCCACAAATGCAATATAGACTATTGCGTATGGTTCACTCTTTGATGTGAAAAAAATGGCTAAAATTGAATTGGTGGCAATTAATTTTTTGGGTTTAATGGCCGAGATAGGTAATTACTGAAGATAGAGAAGAATGGACTAGAAAAATATCTAAAATCCGACATCTATTGCAAACATTACGAAATTCGATTATCGTTGTGGGTCAGATTTGCAAAACTAACAGATCTTACTTGAAAATTCTTCAATCGTTTATGGGATCTTTTCAAGTGAATTATAATTACTGTAAGACAGAATATTCAGGCAAACTTTGTCAATGATAATCTTGGATGTAAGCAGTTAGACCTATCACCTATGTTCACAAGTCTAGCAGAAGGGTAGTTGCCGTGAGATACGATGCCGAGCTTTGTACTGGCCTTTAAAACGTACCGCGCCTGACATATTTTGCAATTACCTACAATATGCAGGTTGCCAGGTTCCCCAGTTCCCGCATCCCTGTTAGTTAGCTTGATTATTACAGCTGCAGCTACCAAAGTAAGAAAATCATAGATAGTTCTTTTTTCTAAAGTTAGTCACCATCAGTGTTAATTTTTGTCAGAAACTGTGTACACATCCACAAGTCCGCCTTGCGTACTTATTTTTTAGTTTATTGTTGTTTTAAATGTCTATCCATCCAGGCTTCATATTAGGTTCAGTGTTTTATCACCCGATGCGCATCAACCCCCCCGAGGTTAATAGAGAATTCATAATATGGACGCACCCTTGAGAGTTTATTGCCAGAGGTATATCTATCATAAGAACAGCACTGGCATGTGATGTCAGAATATAACATAATCCCAAAGGAAGAAAGAGAAATGGAAGAAAGGCAAACAGCGCCGGATACTGCGCTCAAACCTGAATTACCAAAACTTGACAAGAACGACTGGAAAAAGGTAAGGTTGCAGTGAGTAAGATAACGTTGCACGTCATGTGAGTTTTGTGTTATTGTGTATATTGTGTTTCTGTGCAAATGGCATGTATTTTCTTTCGGTTTATAATGACAACACTTAATTTACTTACTTACTTTGATTAAAAGTTGTTTTGACCAATTTTTTACACCACCACGTACGCGATCTATTATACCCAATAGTATTACGTTGAAAAATTTATTATTATGCCCAAGAAACGCCCCATAATACCGGGAAATCGTAATGTCAGTAGTGTGTAATTGTTTTACTCCATTATTACTAAAGATCATTTTACTCTTCAAACACTTCCAAATAGAAGTAAAATTGCCTGGTATTAGATAACATTATGTTGCCTGCTGAAGGGCTCCCTGATTGTGTCATTAGTGTAACCCATCACCCATACCTTGCAGTCAATGACATGTTTTCACTTTAGTGACATGACAGGCCTAGGTTATAGACAGATCTTACATGGTTCTCAATCATGCTTCTCGATCACGTACAGCTAGGGTTTATACGGTTTTTTATTAGCTATAATGTATCATGTCTTTAAGGTTAAAGATAAAGCTGAGAGTGGTATGTCAGAGAGCAGAGCTGTTGATGAGGTCAAAGCAGATAAGCTGATTGAACAAAGCAAAGAGCCTGGTGGTATTGATCCTCTTTTGGTTATTATGCGTGACTGGCCAAAGTTGCCAGAATATGAAGCCCAACCTGCACAGTTAGAGCACTTTGTAAGTTGTACATTTAATACACATATTGTTTATTATACAATGTAATCAATTTTTAAGGCCATGATGGCCTCCCTTTGCAAGGACAGACAGAATGTAATTCCTCCAGGCTTAAATCAAAGATTACCATCCTCATGCATGGAAATCATGACCATAACTTTTTAACATATATTTAATTGTATTAAATTTTTAGATCAGTCGACTAACAGAAATAATCTTAAAGGTAAAAATAAAAGAAAAAAAAAGTTATGAATACTTTGTTGATGAAACAGATCCATTGGAACCCTCATTACTCCATCTTGCTGCTAAACATAATTTTGTTGAAGTCTCAAAGATTTTGGTTGAGCATTGGCCATCCCTTGTGACATCACGGCTCAGAATAGGCAATGCCTATCCTGTGGAAATTGCTTTAGAAGAACACTATGATGACACTGCCGCTTATCTTATATCAAAGATGATGTGGGATCAGTAAGTGCATCCCAGACCATTAAACTATATCACCCTAGCTGTGTAAACTTATCAAAAGCAAAATATGCACAGATCAGGTTGCACCTGAAGTTGTGGATTATTTTTTATAAAAGGATACAAGATCTCTTTCTTTGTGATGAAGACAAGGAGCCATTAAAACGCAGTTTTGGCCATTATATCAGCTATGAATCTGGAATGAAGGTAGAACATCTTTGTCGGGAAAGAAAAGATTTGAAATACTTGAAATATCTATGTGAATTTTTTTAACACTGCATAAATTTGACAAGATATGTTTGAGAGCTGACGTTATATTGTATGTGGGTCAATGCTCAACTGCATCGACAAAATTTGGCATGTATTTGTGCTTGGTGGAGGTGCCTCTGGCCTCTAACCCAGCATGTTCCTGATTGGTCATTTGGCAGACAAGAAGCATGTTTTGCCCAAAATTAGATGTTATCCTTCGCTTATTCTTGAAGGTCACTGAATCATGCGAAAATAAAGCAAATTCTTGCTAAACTCTGTGGTAAATCACGCAGTTATGAATCCAATTTCAGTGGCAAAACATGATGTAACAGCACGTGCATTAACTTACTAGGAAGCAAGTTAAAATTTTCCTTTTATACCTACTTTACTGTAATATATATGGTTTACACTACTATAGTTTATGTGCTCACCTAATTCTTTCGCGGGATGCGTTTGCTTTTTTTATGCATGCCCTCGCATAGTTTGTTAGTTTTCAGGACTTTCCATGATGTCAGTCTACATGTTCTCTAAAACTAGCCACCTAATGCAAAAAGACTTTAATGTATTTTTATTTCGACAGAAAACAGTGATAGAAATATTAAACAAATTGATTGATCCTATTTGGCCGTACCTTCCCAACCGCAAAGAGCAGAAAAATGACGATTACCAAGAGCAAATACAAAGAGCATTGATAAGTGTTCCTAACAATCCATTAAAGTATGACTTCTATTATCATATCCTGGAAACTGATGAGGAAGGAAGAGTTCCAAGAATTCTTGTGAAAGTAAAATCTGATGAGGCAGATGAACGTGGTTCCGAAGCCTCCAACCTGCTTGAAAAGGTAAAATGGAAAGACAATCGGCGATTTAACAAGAAATCAGTGTCGTGCCTTCAGCGTCTTTCGGAGAGTGATAATAAGGTACCAGTACTCAAATCAATCAAATGTTCAAATACCCATAAACTGAGCTTAAAACGTACAATATTAACAGCTATTTGAAGTAAAAGTGTAAACTAAACTGGGTTTTTTTCATATAGGAAGCTGTGCAACATCCTGTCGTTCGGATGTTGGTTGCGAAAAAATGGAATGAATTTGCTCACCCACTGTATTGGTAAGGGTAAAACACATACAACGTAATGTCGTAATCATCTCAAGATCAGTCGACGGGATCTCTAGCCCCTTTGACTTCCACGCCCAATGGTGCAACCTCACTCTCTTTCGCGGTATTCATGCACAGTACTTCAGTACTGCCATTTCTAATTTGATATTCTACCAATTAACAAACACTAGCTAGCTCACAAGGAAACACCACACCATATCTCAACTTATCATACATTGTCATTCTCCATTGTTTATTTTTGTTCTAGTATCAGGGCTGGTTTGTACTTGTTGTTTTTGGCAGTGTTATCGTTTGCCCTGGTCTATGGCTCTACTCGTGACGATCCAACACAATATGAAGGCGCTGCTGATACAATTAGAGCATTCTGTGAGATTTGTAGCATCGTATTTCTGATGGTAGATTTGTTTGTTGAGATTCGTGAAGTAGCAAGGTTTGCCTATAAAATTAACTATGAGATTATAAAATTGACGAGGTTTTCCCATAATTTCCCCTATAATTATTTAGATTTGCCTGGAATATATTTACTGGATGATTTGAACAATGTCCACGTGTATCTTCTAAACAGTATGCAGCGTTCAATTTTAATTTCTTTCGCCTATTTATTTTCCAGGGCAAACTACATACAAAACAAACTTTACGGAGAAAGAAAATCATATTTCAAAGTTTTCCGCAACTACATTGATTTTATCGGTATAATTTTAACCCTCCTTATTATTCCCCTTCGCTACGCCGAAGTCGCATCTCAATGGGTGGTAGCTGCGATTGCTTTTATATTTAATTTTATACGGCTTTTCAAATATTGCTATGTTACAAGGTAAATTTCAAACTTCTTTTTTATAAGCTTCAATAGTATACGATTGTGGTACGATTAAAAGGGCTTGATAAGGCCTGCAGGCCGCGGGCATGTTAACACTTGCAACTTGGCTTTCGTCCTCTGATAAATTTTCAACAACTGCATGGAAAAGCTATAGCTACGACAATGAAAATATAAAACCAGAGTGTTTTCAACTTACACATGAAGTGAACGCTTGTTCGCCTTTATAAGAAGAGGAGAGACACAAAATTGCAGCAAAAACTGCAAGTGTATGCGAAGGCTCTTTCTTACATATTTTAAAATTTTCTTCAACACAACAACATGGAACCGAAGTAGGAAGTCGGGTACAATGTAACTGGTACATTTCAAATGCGCGCCAATAAACGTGTTTTAATAAACCCGTTTTGTCTGCATGGCATTGTTACAGAATCACGGGTCTTTATACCACAACGCTTGTGACAATAATTTGGGAAGACATCACACGTTTTTTGGGGTTCTTCTCTGTGATATTTATCGGATTTTGTGGAGCGATGTATATGGCCCTGAAAGTAAACAACGTGCAGGATTCGTACAGGTCAGTAGATGCTACCTTGCATGGCTTATAGCGAGCTACCATGTTGGCTTTGTTGCTTTCCTTTTACGCTATATGCACTTTTACTACCTATTGCAACCCTTATTTAATTTTTTTAATCATACACTTTCAGCTTCCCTTGGCTTATGTTGGGCGGAATTAAAGCTCTTGTTGAAGGGGAATCGCTGGAGGAAGAGGACGGGAAAAAATTTAGGTGCCATTTTAATGCACTTTGAATGGGAAATACAAATTTATCCACGTATAGCATCTTTTGTAACTATGAACTCGGCACTGCACTCTTGAGCAATTACCTGTACAGTCAAATTTTTCAAGATAGAGCTAGATTAATTGTTCCCTAGCTCTTTCAATTGAACCCTGTTGGTTAAAAGTGTTTTTGGCAGAATTTTATACGAGCGGGGAGAATTTTCTTTTGAAATCCGGTTTTCGTACAACAGACCCCATTGAATAAATGCATGTAAAAAAAAAACGACGTTAAGTCGGCATTTTATTTTCTCCTTTTTTCAGCTGGTTAGCGGTTTTGATCCTTCTGGCGTACATGGGAATCGTTGTTGTGATTCTCCTGAATATTCTCATCGCTCAACTTAGCTACACGTACGGCAAGGCAAAGAAAATGGCAAGATTGCAATACGCAGCAGACACAATGCGTATTGTCGCTCGCATGGAAAATAGTCCATTCGCTAGACTGGTAGGCAAACACTAAAAAATTCTATGGTTCCTCAATTTCCAATGTACAAAAAGTTAATGGGACGAAGTGAAAAATTTTCCATAATTATGGACATTGATTCGAATCGAAAGAGCAAGAGGCTTGTTGTACGAGCCACGAAAAACAAGAATTGCATGTCAGGGGTTCTGTATATATATACTGTAGAAATTTCAAAACCATTTGCTTCTAAATTTCAACTGAGAAAAAACTGTTTTTGTGTGGCTTATAAGGCAGGTCCAACAAAGAAGTGAAAATAAAAAAATGATTTTGAAATTCGGCAGGAGAAAATCAGACTTGGCGTTCTAGCTGCTCTTTTTGAATTTAGCCTTATAGGTCAATTTATTTTTTTCCATGGGAATTGCCATCGGATATCCAACAAACAAATGTGTCCCGGTGTTTCCACTCCCGGCAGTTAATGGGTTAACCAGAAACACTGCATGGCAGTTTTCACTATTAATCATAATGAGTATTCAGTTAAGCTATAACAATCAATCCATAATGTGGTTTCCATTAAAGAATTATAGAGTGAAGGCTTACGAGGAGGGAGAAATAATGACTGATGAAAAATTAGCCAAAGGTATATATACCTACATTTCTTGGACATGAATACATGCATGCTCGTATTCATAGACATAGGCGCGCACATTTGATTTGAAATCTTTGTTATTTTAAAGAAATTCTAGAGTTCACAGAAGACAGGCATCCTTGGGAAACAGATGAAGAACGAATTACCAGTGTCAGGTAGTATTTTTCATTTGTAAACATGCATGTGTGTGTCTTGAAATAAATGCGTCTATGTTGAGATCTTCACTTAAAATTTAATTCTTTCTACTTTAAGAGAAGCGATGCGAAGAGTGATTAAAGGCGAGGAGGATGATCCACTGGAAACTATTGATGAAAAAATAACTCACCTAACGTAAGGAAATGATAAACATTTTTCTTGGTAAATGATAAACATTAGTGCATGGGGGTTGCAGCAAACCGTCTATATCATCAACATCAGTAGACACCAGACATGCCGTATTTAACAGAAATGATCCAAGCAAACTACCATTGATTCTAATGAGGATTTTAATTTTGTAATATAGAGAGATCGTGGAGAATTTGAAGACATCGAAAGGAAATAGGTTACTATATTTGCACATTTAAAACCATTTATATAGGTTGCAATATGCATCAAACATGATAGACGTTCGTCAGAATATAGAGTAACTCCAAAGATAATTGATAACCTGGACGTTATTTTTATACTCATGCATTTAATAATTTTGTCAACGTATTTTTAAACTTTGCTTTTTACATATTTCATTTTTATTGGTTGTAAGCCAATTAGCATATAGTTGACATCAGTTTGTACTTTGTAGTAGACATATTGGTGAACGTTCTTCAACAGAATTTAAAGTACAAATTAAATTTTTGAAAAATTTATCTGCATGATTGCCATGTCTTATATAAAGACGTCAGTAGTGGTCAGATCGCACCGTAAAAGCAGTTTTCCATACTGGCGAAGCGCGCTTTGTGTTTTAGCCTTGAGGCCCGTCATGGCTGCATTAGCATATATTTAAAGGCTGCATTTGTCTGATGTGATGAATGAAAAACAGCGCTGATATAGATATCCTAAGCTGTATTAGTTTTAGTCACTGAAACTGTTGATTGTTGTCTAAATCAAACTATATTGCTTTGGGCAGTTGGGAAGACCCTACAAACTTCCTCCAGGTGGCTGGGGCATAGCGAAAATGAAACATGAAACATTGAATCCTGAGTAATTCGGCCTGGGCGGTCGACGTTCTTCGGGTTGTTGACTCAAATTAGAAAATTGAAAAACTTAATTAGTGAAAATAGTTCTAATAGATGATAATTGGGTCTCGTGTGATCCAATGAAACCAGAGCTTACATATATCAAGCGCCCTAAATAAAACACAGCACGTCTTTGTAATGTTAAGTCTCCACATGTAATTCAGCTAGATGAACAATCATAATCCTCGGTTATAGCAATCAATCAAACTATGAAGGCCGACAACAGGGAGACTCCGAACAAGCAACGTTCAGTAACTATAAAATACAATACACTGTTACTGATACCTCACACGGAGTGTGTAGATCGCAGAACAGCCGAAAGAACCATTGTACATTTCGGTTTGTACTCATTCTAAACTTTATATACTACACTACGGGACATTCCGCGGCACGATCCACTCAAGAAAGATAACGCAATGTGGCATTTGTATCCCAAAATCAAAGGCCTTAAAGTCAGGGGCTGGAGGCAAACTTGATAGGACTGGCAATAGCTGCAATGAACAAGCTGAAACTCCAGCACTTCAAGCTGTCAGCCGTGCCCTTTAAATGCAAATGCCCTCCAAAAACTGCCCTCCAGTCTCCCTCGGCTTTTTTTATCTCAGTAAAAATCACTCAGTGGTTAATTATTCAATTCTAAAAATCATAAAACGACGTCATCCAGGATTCTTCGATCCAAGATTGCTTGTATAATCAAAGTGAAATTCACCAGATCTAGTGGTGACGATTCAATTGTAAACGCGATGCGCTAAAGAGATAATCACTGCATGTATGGAAGCATAGATATATGATGCATGGAACTGTGAACCCATTTTTTTAGTGTCAATTTTCCCTTCCTATTCCTAAAAAACGATAAGACGTTAATTCGGGTTTTGCTTATCGGGTTAGTCTTAAGTATTAACAGGCCGTCCGAGAATGACTGAAACATTTAGTTATGTCTTCATCTCAGACCACCCTGCATGTGGTTGTACTGTAATTTATAGTTTGTTTCCCCAACAACTCAAAGTTACTGACCTGACCTTTGCTTCGAAGCATGGCAATTTAATTAGTGGTCTATAATTAAGATGCCCGAATCATGTGGCAGAATGATATATATATATGTCTCCAGTTTCACAGTCCAAACTTAGAATATTGCTACAAATATAGAACTATAGGGAAGATAAAATGTTACATGATAATTCTCACGCGGCGTCCTGCTATTTTAGAAACTGGTTAACAAAGTAGGACTGACCGTGGACTGACATTGCCTTAAGTCAGTTGCTTTACAAAAAGGTGAAGATATGACGTTAAAAACGTTTTGATTAACCGGCATACATAATCGCACCGACAATAGTCTTGCCTATAAATTGTCCGTCAAACACTGCTAGGTGATATTTAGATGATAGGGGTGGACATCCCCATGCATTGCCTTTATTAAATTTAAAGCAATATTCACTCAACTGTAAAATTGGTTTATTAGAGATTAGAGACCCTAACTGTGCTGCATCCTTTAAACTTCCCTTTTCTTTGTTATTTTGAACAAAGCCATGTTGGATAGTTACCCTGAACAATCCTGCTGGCAGCAACACATTTAAGTCAATTACACGCACACACGTTATCGTGAAGTTCACAACAAATCAACACTACTACACGCAAAATACAGCCAGAATATCAAAAACGAAAATACTCAGCAGCGTTCGCCCTTGATGGTCTATATTGAGAGCTAATCCTCACATTGCAAGCCTGTACATTCTAGCACAGAGGTAAAATAGTTATTATATCGAATTGTATTTATTACCATCATTATCGGTACGTATTTAACATACAGACTGCAGTATAAACGCTAAGGAAAAAGTCAGTGTAAGTCATGGTTTTTAACCTAGCTTTAACAACAAATTAATATCTAACACAGTGACTACACTCAGTATGCCGATTTGCCCCTTAATAAGCTGGTTCCGTTTTAATGCAAGCAGATGGTTAGGCGCGAAATTGCAGTTCTATAGGGTATGGGGGTAAGATCTGGAAAATGCATACTTAGTTTGAAATGCTCAGAATGTAAACGTTTAAAATACGAAATTATTTCTGCTCCTGAATTAACGGTTTAATTTTTGGGCTGTTTTAAGACCAGTCAGTATAAACACTTTTGACTTTTTTTCAATTAATGAGCTTTATATATGCATGACATCCTTAGCCGTCACAAGAAGATGGCTTTAGGGACTGGTGTTGCAACTACAAATGCTTGTATGCTTTCCTTCTAGTGACGATTTGAGAGGGAGGGAGTCAGTGACATACATCTGTATTTTAAAAGCTTACTCACACTCAAACTCATTGAGTGGGAGATCTTAATCTTCTTTTAACGTTTCCATGACGGTAATTTTAGTTGAATAAAAGCTTGATTCCAAGTGTTTTACCTTAAATCTTTCCATCGATCAAGAAAACTTACTCATTGATCAGTAATAATAAATTTTTATGTCGCACTCAATAAGCACGTCATTGTGCTTCTTACAGGGGATAATGTTTGGGCCTTTTAACTACACGGGTTATTGGTTGTTTCCAATGACGTGATAAAAGCGTTTCAGTTAACAAGCAGGTGGATTAAAAAAGGATATTGTAGTGTTTTGGTCGATTTTTGGTTTAGATTTAAAATATGAATTGCTGCACGGTTTATCGTTCTTCGGTTGCCCTGAAAAGAAGAAAACGCCTCGAAGTTTTTAATTCCACGTCATTTGGGGGAAAATTCACGTGATTGCAAACAAAGAATACTTATCAGAGACTTCAAAAAATCTTCACTTTGCCTCTTATTTATTAACTGCATGAACGAATCGTGTTTGCTGCATGTGCATTTGAAGGTACCTGATAACACATGCAGGCTTATTACACCTTATTACTCGCGTACATGAATGCAAATCTTTTTCACCGCACGGTTAATTAGCAGTCAATTTCAAACAACGAGTTTCTTTGCATGAGCTTAGGACCTTAAAATTGATCGTATCGTCTAATCCGGCTTATAATTGTCTACTCTCAGTGCCTCGTGGCAGGTGAAATATGTTCATCGCTCGACTTCTCGAGTGTCAAACGTCACTTCCCATATTACAGTAATTTAACCGCATATTGCGAACCATGCATGCGTGTTTAAATGAAATCATCGAAGTCTGGAGATTGTAAAATGTCCCCCCAATCGGGAGACGATAAGCTACATACATGGTAACCATATAAATAAACGCCAAGATGCTGTCTAAAAATAGACACCACACTAATTCATACTTGAGTGCAAGTGAACAATGGCCTTCAGTTTTGGTCAACTGACTAAAATCACGTAGTGTGCAGAGAGCATGAATGTGTGTTAATCACAGGATTCCTTGGCGACAATTTTTATCGCTGAATTTCAAATGTCTTAATGTTGAGCTTTAACTTTCATTTTCAAATCACTGAATCGCAATTCTAAACTGAGATGATGTAGCATTAGGTTGGGTAACAGACATAGATATTTATCACATATCTGTGAGGTGATCTACCAGAAGTGTATGTATGCTCCCAATATAAAAAAACCCATTTCCTTACATCAGGCCTTGTCAGTTTTTTTTCGTTTTGGTCATGCTGTAATTACATACGAATAATCACGCAATAGTATATTTCGACCTTTTGGTTAAAAAAAACTCAAGCTTGGGAGGTTGACCTTTTTATATATATAGTACTCAGTTTGACGTGTTTAGCCTTAAAGTTTGTAGTTTTTATGTGCATCCGACTGGCAAGGAACAGGGAACCAACTAATTACAAAGAATTTTAAATATATCAATTTAGTCTTCACATTAATTGTTCGGTTAATTACGTAATGCGTATCAGTAAATGTCGTGTTTATATTCTCCTATATTAATCTATTAGGAACGTAAAGCTGTTGGTGAAATACCGATACGCACCATTCTTTTTAACATTTGGAAGAAAAATATAGAGCAATGATATATTGGGCATTTATAAGCTAGTATTTACTGCCATCTCATTTGTACCTTTTGAGTAAATGACGTCACGTTGTAATCCAAAGATAAGAGCGATGCCCAGGTAACGAGATTGTTTATATGCAAAAAGCATTTAATAATGGTATCACCTTGCATCAGTGAACACAAATAGATTGCATCAAATAGATGAGCCATATTAATTTAAACAGGTTCCGAATTAATATAATATCACATATACATAAGACGTCATAAGCTAGAACTGCCGGGTCCTATATTCATCTTTGGAAATTTGGTTTCAGCAAAACTTTTAAAGATAACATCAACTATCACTCAGTAATAAAATATAATTTACTAAGATACCAATTTGCAGTTTGTTCAGGCTTATCACGGCGCAGTCTTTAAACACTTAGCAAGATTATGTAGGTATATTTACCTTCACAGATAAGACAAGCACGTAATATAGACTGTGATAAAAATAGCAAATATAGCTAAATTAATAATACATCATGCAATCAGCTATGTATTTATACATACGTGGGAAATCACATCTGAATTCACTCAGGTTTAAAACAGAACTTTTATCACGGTAATATTATATTGGATATTTAAATTTCTGGTATTCTCTTTATCCCAGATTTAATTCATTTCTAATAGTTGTCGATGTACTAAATAATCATAGACGCAGCCTTTTTTGGTATCAAACAAACCAATATCAAAAGAATACTATCAGATACAAAGCATCAAATTACTACGTAAAAATATAAAAATAGAACGGACCTTTGATGTTACTGATATACATACAGTTATGCCAGAACATCTCATTTAGCGTTCTTATTATTTTGTGTCAGCACCGCCCACGCACCTCGACTATACACGCGGTTCGACGCAATTTATTCAAATATTGACTACAACATGTTTCCCTCATTTCTTAGAAAGTGAACAGGTGAAATAGCACAAACTATTTTCACCGGCGCAAAATACGATAAAACTATCGACGCGACTGAATGTTAGTTAAGACGACGCAAAGAATGTTAACCAATCTGTGTGTACAACCAATGTGGCGTAAACTGTATCCAGACATAAATGGATTATTATATCCTCGTTTTCTTTATATCAGTTGAACTTATTACGATAATTAGCACGTTATTTATAAATAATAAGTTACATCTTATCTTAGAAAATAGCGAAGGCACTGTCTTTATCATTTAGGATCATTTAACTTATTACGGCGGCTTTCGTTGTCTGGGAGATAATTTGATTTGTTCTAATTATCCGATGTTCACTTCCAAAACTCTCACTCATCGACAAACTCAGTGATTCTATAAACGAAAATTACGCGGTGCAAGTGTAGCGAATGAAATAACGGTGGAGATGTTGTTTATATAGGTTGCTATGCACAGGATACCTATATTAGGTGAACGTCAGCACGTGTTCACGTTTTGACAGAGTCACAAGTTCCAAGCAAGATTGCATGAAAAGATACTTTTTACTTCACTATTAATAGTTCGGTGTTCAATTGCATTGACAGGATCGATTGGTTGTAAGAAACTGCAACAGTTAGTCTCGGCAAAGCAACATGGAAGATTGCATTTGCGAGTACGACGAGGTAAATATTGAGGAGGCGAGTCGTGAAGCCGAGGAAATCTTGAAGAGCTTTAGCGATGAAAGTTCTTCTGTGGAGGCAAATGAAAAGCAGGATGATGCATCTCGCCGTCGTAAACGCCGTAAGAAGAGAATGTTGACTGGTGTGAGCCGGCAGCGGCGCGCTGCAAATGCCCGAGAACGCCGGCGCATCCAGGGGGTCAATCGTGCGTTTGTGCAACTAAAAAATTCTTTGCCTCTTGCTCAAATCGATATCTCCAAAATTGAGATTCTACGTTTGGCTTCAAAATGGATTGATCACCTTCGGACACTACTTAAAGATTACGAGGAAAGAAAAGAATTACTGAACACAGTACAAATGGAAACATCGCGACCGAACGAGTTTATAAGTTTGGAAGAGAACAGGACTCCGGTTAAACATGACTGCCTTTATCACCAGTTTCCTGATTTAAAGAATACACTCTGGGAGGAATGCATCGGTGTACATGGTAAGTGCCTGAGAGACAAATCATAAACAATGTCGTTTATAATATTTACATTGCTGCATATACAACTTTGTCAATAAATATTGTACACACAAAACGTGAACGTCTTTGAGCGCTTTGCTTATTTAGACTTGCCAAATTGAAAAGTTCGCTTTGCAAGTAAAAGCTATAACACACAGGTGACTCATTCTTCATGTTCTCATAGTTGAACGCTTGAGGTTTTTGAAGGACTACCTTGTCTGAATGCATGTAGTTAAAGTTTAAATGAATTTCGGTATGATTTCTCACAACGTTATGAGTACGTTTTGAGGAGACATAGCAGCTGCATGTAATATAGACTTATATAGTGTGTGAAGGTGCTATCTTTATACTACTTACATCAAAGAGTAACGCTCTTATGCTGTTATCTGCATGACAGCTTAACCTGGAAGCTCGCCGGAATTAGATCCGATGTATTCACAAGAGAAAACCAACTTGCTGGCTTTTTTTCATAAAAATCTACTCAGAGGTTAAATCTCAAGTTTCGTATTAAGTCTTTTTATCTATATCAAGACATATATGGTTTCGAAAAACTAAAGTTTTTTGTTTTGGTTGTGAATGTCGCGATGACGATCCTGAATTGTTTATTAAATAATCCTAATGCACTATCCTCGACGAACTAAATGAGCTTGCATGGTCAACAGTCTAAATAAGTTTAGCTTAGAATTATGTTTGTTTTGTTATTTCTACTTTTTCCAAAACTCCCGCCAAAACCTCTTTCATTGTGTGATCAATACAGTAATGGAACCGTATTCTATGATACATTTTTTCCTTCCAGAATCCGCTCCAGGAGGCGAAAACGAGGGCTGCATTCACATCAGAAGTAACTCTAGTTTCCTCTCCCTGTTTTCACCACATTAAAACCATCACATATATATTCTACATTGTATAAATTGTATAAATATATATACGAAGTACCTTGATGTTCTCACATACATCATACAGTCAACATACGACGCTTTGCATGCACAGCTGCAAATGAATGTACGAACCTCCAAATTAAAAGTTCGCAGAAAACGAGATGGGGAGAAGAAATAACCGACTCTGAGGTGTTATTAACTATAGTTCTACCATTACTATTATATAAGAGTAAGCATGCATATATAAGATCAGGTATATATATGATATGTGGGATATTGCAGTGATGTGACAGATAAAAAGGGAGTATGATAGTGGAAACACATTACTGAATTCTATAGGTTTTTAGCGACTTTACGAAGACAGTAATTAATTTAGTAAAGAGATAGTGACATGGGACGTTTTAATGAGTCCATAATATACTATAAAAGGGCTATGTTTTACGATATTTCGTTTAATTTTCAATATTCCAAGAGTTACCATGCAGTCTACTCATTATTCCTTTTTTATTTTGCACTTCCCTTTTACACAGACCTCGCAAATCCGCTTTTCATAACTAACCACGCCTTTCCTATATGTGCTAAAGCCATCCTTCGCGGGCATAAATGTGTTTTTGGCCCGACTCTGAACTCTAAAATGTGTTCTGCAAGGATGGGTAAACACTTTAGTCATTCTTCTGATTGCCTTGGATCAACGGGCTAAAACATATTTCAACCTGGCAAATTTATCATTTTAGCCCGCAAAATACACCGCAATGCCCGTTAAATTTAATATAATATTAAGGTATAATAATACATTTGTATGTTTGGCCGTTGTATTGCGTATAGGGAGGGGGGGTGGTATGTGAGAGGGGAATAACTACACCCTATACAGCTTAGTTCATACTTTATTGATGCACTTTGTTATCTCACAAAATTATCCACAATTAAGGAAGGAACATCATCATGCAATATATATAAATATATATGCATACGTACGAATCGTTGATCGATGTAGATTATTTTCGAAGTTTTTTAAATAAAGGATGTCTGTCTTTATTTGGCTTTCGATACTCAAGGTATACCATGCTGTCTGCTCCAGATAAAGATGCCATTGAACCAGTTCGTCGAACAACAGCACTGGAGTTCTGTGATAATAAAAATGAGAGTGCATGACGTATATGAAAACCTTGTAGGATCAATAAATGGCAGCCCTGTGCATGCTAACTTGACTATTCCGCCACAGTAACCCTGAATAAATTAAATCGATGATCTATAATTATACGAAGAAAACGGATCCTAAAGGCTCGTTTACACCTGCGATTTTTAGTGCATTTAACATCGGTCTGCAGATTTTAGCGAATAAACTTTGCAATATATATTGCTCGAACAGAACATTCGGTTAAACTGTGGCTAATTTTGTTCAAGATATGAATGCAAATCATTCTTACTTGCGATGATGATCGCGATTGAGCGTCCCCTTCTTCATCTGCATCAGCGTCACTGGCTGCCAATACCTAAGGAAGGATGAGCAGATTTCTCATGCAATTTTACATAATTGAAATGTTCCAACATATGTTCAACACAAAAAGAGCGTGAAAGAAACCTTTTGGAGCAGTTCTTGCTGGTCTCGTTTGGTTGCATAGGCTAAATTCTCCTAGGATAATTAGGTAAAAATATCTGCATGACTCGTATAATAACGTAGCTACATGGGTTTTTGTTCAGAAAAGACAACAGAATAAAGTACGGACCTCGTCCATACCAGCCAGTTTCGTTATAACCTAAAAAAAATGATTTGTTGGGTGTCAATTTTAAATCCAGAAATTAGGGAACCGATGTCAATAATATATATGCAGTATACCTTGAAACTGTATCCCTGGTTTATCAAAAATCTTTGTCGTTTCCCAGAATAAAACATTTCTTGGGTGTCCTATAAAAAATGTGGAACTCAATGTAGTGTGATTTTCACAAAATGTCAGAATGCTATTCTTTGTTTCTTTCAGTCACTAACTTTCTCTTGATCAATTTTCTTCTTTTTCATTCTAATTATTTCGTAGTCTACATAATTTTTTTCTAACAACATCACGTATGAACTCACTGTTGATACCAAAGTATAAAAGAAAGCGTTGTATTCTTCAGCAATCATATCTAAAGATCAAAAAATATGACAATGTAATTGGAAACGTACAGAACGCGTAGACATACATGCAAAAATTAAAAGACCAGATATATACCTTTCTTCGCTCGCAGGATTCGGCCTAAACGTTGGGCTTCCTGTTTAAATAAAACAGAAGTTGTTTAGAATACGCATATCATAAGGTGAAAGTGACATCATGTACTGGGGCTGTGTCGATAACGTGCTTGCTTGCAGTGCGCGAGTACCTGTCTACGAGATCCACCGTGAGACGAAACCTGAAAAAGAAACCTGCAGTGAATCCACCAGTGTTACGATCCAATATATTCAGTCATAACGAGTCATACTATAGGACGTACGAACATGTATATACTACCACTCAGCAGATAAATTCTTAATGCACATGATTTACGGCTCTATAGGTACGAGTTATGGCTCTGGGTACGAGTAAGGGCCATGTGTACAAGTCATAGCGCTGTGGTTCTGAGTGCGAGTAATGGCTCTGGGTACGAGTAATGGCTCTGGGTATGAATAAAAATTACGGATACAAGTAATGGTTCTGGGTACGAGTAATGGCTCTGGGTACGAGTAATAGCTCGGGGTACGAGTAATGGCTCTGGGTACGAGTAATGGCTCTGGGTATGAATAAAAACTACGGATACAAGTAATGGTTCTGGGTACGAGCAATGGCTCTGAGTACGAACAATGGCTCTGGGTACGAGCAATGGCTCTGGGTACGAGTAATGGCTCTGAGTACGAGCAATGGCTCTGGGTACGAGTAATGGCTTTGGTACAAGTAATGCAGAATAATTTGACACCAACTCTGGTAGGAGAATGATTTGTTACCAACCTGAATTAGAACGTTAGCCTCGGGTAAATCAAAAGAATTATCTCCAACCTACAAGTGAATAATGAAGACGACAAAAATCAGCGATAAAAATATCAGACGAAATATTTGTTCATTTCATTTTCGCATTCGTCCAATTTTTGTCGTCTATCCATGAAATATGTCGTCTAAATATGAAAATGTCCATGCATGACATTAATGTAACTAAAATGCACAGGATATCAAACTCGTTTAATTTTGGAAGGAAGTGATCTTGGCACTTTCACTAATACAGATACCCATGCAAATAACTCTACAGTGCGTGCAACCACGGGTGCAACAAAGTGAAAAGGGCAAAGAGTAGCCATGTTGGTGTCACTTCAAAGTTCCGCTGTCCATCAGACCATAAAAATTATTGATTTTCCACTCAGTTGAACACGAGTGTGTCGGATTTATGACACAGGTAAAAACTATCGATATATTGTACTGTAAATATATTTCTCTGTTGTGTTTTCATTATACACATGCACCAACTTGCTCTCACCAAACGTACCTTGCACAAATACTTAGTCATCTGAGCTCTAAACATGCCTGGAACAATAAGGGGCAGAGGCCACGAACAACCCTACAAGGCTGCTTTGCAGGCCGCTGGTATATATACTCTGAAGAAAATACATACTTTTGATATGAATATTGTGTTGACTAGTGGATTATGTTGAAAGTTTTGCAGAATTTGCATTCTTTCTCCTTGCGACGTCGGACCGTAAATATATGGTCTATATAAAACAGAATGAATTTGGCATGATGAATAATTGGTGCATTTAATCCACTGCAATCTTAATTCCTGCAATCACTGGTAAAGCAATTGAAGGACCAAATATATAATGATATGCAGAGCATCTTAACCCCTTTTTAGAAATCCAAAAGATTAGCCGGTTGGTAAAATACCAAACTGAATGTCAGAAACACGTTTTGTGTATATTGTTAATCTTTTTGTTCATGATTTTGAACCGTGTCAATGAAGGGTAGAGGCTCTACCGTTGAGCGATAAAAATGTCCGGAATTTTGCCTTCTTCGATGTGATAATTATACAGTAGGCTGAAAGCGATACGCCGTCTGAAAGCGATACGAGCGTGTCTTACCTGTTCATTTTGACAGCGTAACTCTTCAAGGCAAACACGTTGTCAGAAAAGACGATCACTTTGTCATTTCGTCTGGAGAGAAAGTTAAAAAACGTGTATCGATATGCATAAGGGCTACATGTGTGTGGCTGTGTGCACGGAGATTACAGGGGGGGGGGGGGAACAATAGTTTATGAACAATTACTGCAATTTTAGCAATATATCAGCGGGGAATTGCAAAACTAAAAGTCCTTTCATTCCCATACCTCTCGTGGTACTTGACAAGGAACTATATTAATAAGAAATACAGCAAGGGTTAGTAAAGCCAGTTTGTATAACTCATGGCATTAAATGTCGTATAACGACTGCCTAAAATAGACAAAAACACTTGGAAAAAGACAAATACACTAGAATTTTTCTAGTACTCATACTAACTCTTTTGACGAGGGCCGTTAGGTCGAAACATCAAAAAGTGCATGTTTTTGTCTATTTTAGGGAGTTCAGTTATACGCCAACACATTTGATGCAAAGTTGTTTGAAGACTGTTGCCCCGCTGTATGCCCCCCCTGGTTATATTGGACGTATATTACACGTCATATATTATCTGAAACAGATCGAAAGCATAGGAACCAAGTAAGTTTACATGCATATAAAGTTTATAAATTGTTATAACTGAAAAACCGTTGAAAAGCCGAAGTCCATCCAATCTATATCATTGCTTGGTTAGGTCAGCGGTCAGCTTGATGTAGGTTTGTAGTATGGTGTAAACCAAGCAATATATTAGGTCGATTAAATCATAAAAAGTAACCTTTTTATTAAACGTAGCGACTGACTGCAACATCAATCTAATTTTCCAATCTAGCATTTGCGACATTTATTTAGCGCGGTACCAGAGGAATAAACGGTCTTCAACTAAATGTCATGCACAAGCCGTGAATATATGCGTTATTAAACAGTCAATTCATAAAAAATATAACAATTGAATTCAAAAAATATAATAAAATCCCAATAGCATAAAAACATTTCAAAAGGCAATTAATTTATATACATATGAATGCATGAAAAAAGCAATATTCAATCAATCGTTTATTCTATAAACTATATACAATTCTATAAACTATATACAAGTTTTCATTTGCCAAATTTGGGTCTTCATGCAATTTTCAAAATGAAAGCAAATGAAGGTAACTTTAATATCAAAATGAAGTTAAAAGAGGTATTTTCAAAATGCATATATGCAAAAATGTTAATTTTAAATCGATAAACATGCACCATGCTGTGCTGTGCGTTTAATTCTAACATTTACACAATCGTTTGCAAACTTTCCGTCCTTCTTTCCTTAACCTCTCATTTGCCCAGAAAAAGATCAGACAGTTGACTGTAGAGTTCATGAGCACGAGAGTCACCGTCCATATTTTCGCTTGTACTTGCCCGTCAACGGCTTTTATTCTATCAGTAAACACGGCAAAAATTACTGCATTTGGGAGGTTCAAGGCAAAGCTAATGAATACCACTAAGAGACACATTTTAGCAAGCTGTAAATCGTGTTGTAACGACACTGTTTTCCTTGACCTTTTTCTTTCGTCACGCTTTAACACGTTTTGGTTCATGTTAATTGTTTTCATAGGGACATCTGGGTTCGGATTTAAAAGTGCTTCTGGTGCAATGCAAGATGACATATTATCTGTGTGAGTGGAGTCTTCGACAAGGAATATATTTGAATTTTCTTCCCTCCGTCTCACGTTGTTAGGCTGCGAACCTTTTCTTCGTCTTCTCCCGAAATAAAATATTGCAAAATAAATGTAAAAAGTTCCGCATATGACTACTAAAGACGAAACTGTAATTGTCAGGTCGGTGTTCAGGCTGAGCGGATAAGCCACTGGACCACAGAAGATTGCCAAACTCCAGAGCATGATGCAAACTACGAGACATCGCAGCTTAGTGACATGTTGCAGATGAAATATCGGGTGAACGATGGATAAATAACGTTCAATATTCAAGACGAAGAAAGTAAAGAAAGACATCCCAGAGAGAACTACGGCTGCTATTTGATAAGACATCTTGTATATACATTTTGGTTTTCCAATAATTTCTGCAACTGACATTACCAAGTGCGCCGGATGCACAATCAGTGTAACCAAGACATCAATTGACGATAAGAGCATGATCATAAAGTAGGAAACTTTGTATCGTAATCTTGGTGTTTTCCAGAACACGTAAACAACAAGAGCGTTGAGAAATGAACCAACAAAGCAAAGAATAAGGTTTACAATACAACCAATAACACTGTTAATGATATAAGATGTTGTCGGTTTTGTCACAATGTATGTTCTGTAACAATCTTCAACTTCACCTTCGCCTTCACTGACATTAAACATTTTGAATGCGAGCTACTCACAGGTCAACAGCGGTGAATGAGAGAGAGCTCTGATGAACAAGTTTTGTTTTCGTACTTATTTGTTGAGGAAGCTTCCGCATTTGCTTTCATAATTCGTTCTTGTGCTCATCCACGTTCTTTGAAGACACGCACCGGCGGATATAAGTATTTGTATTACGTGTAACTCATTACTGACCATAAAGAATAGCCAATGAGTACGACTTCCAGTACCAATACTAATACCAAGAACAGGTCATGCATCAACGCTCATGAGCACGAGGATCATGCAGTACTCGGAACCGCATTTTCATCATCAGTAAAGGCAGATATATCGGTTTACATAAACAGCAAACGCAGAAACCTAGCACCGAATCTCCGAATCCGAATAATCAAAGTAACAATTTAAAACGGCAATTATATGTTGAACACCAGATTGTCAGCAGGGAAAAGCGCCTGGCTAGAAGTTTTCCAACTCTGATAAATACGACTCAAAATAGTATGCTGCTTTTATCCCAAGCAATAAAATATCATATTTTTTCACTTTCCGGTATCTGATTTAAGTGATAACCCATCTAACCCAAATAACCTTTTCAGGCTCGTTAGACAAAGATTACCCTGAAGGCACGGGCAGTAATACCAGTAAAGTATTTCCCAACCGACATTGAAAATGCCTAACGTCCCCCCCCCTTTTTCTTATCAGGAGGTTGCAAAGCGGAGGCGTGTGAAATTTACGGGGTGGAGGAAGGGAAGTCACAAGGTGCCACTATGAGCACAAAGCGAGAAACTGTTTCAAATCTTCTGATTCTAGCCTGTCGGAGTGGCTCTCATTTAAATAAAGAAATGTACAAGGAGATGAAATTTTAGAGAAGATAGAAATCGTTTGTATTCCTTTTACTTGGAATAAATTATTTAGGTGAGCTTCCCTTTTGATAATTGCTTCCTGTCCAAGGTTTTTTTTCTTAAAGTGACTAATTATTATTATTATTTACCAAATGGTAGGAAGATCAGATTACAGGCTTGCTTTGCGTTGGTTAACAACAGTTTTGAACAAAATAGTAAGATTGCAACCACCTCTGATCTGTGTCTGGGCATCGAACTTCTATTCGGAAATCGCCTTTTTTTAAGTGGAAACACTGTTATATAAATCTAGTTATAAATCTGATAAAAATAAAAACATAAACAGTTCGTCACAGCACAAAGGTTTCGTAACATTCTGATTCGTTCCATTCAGTTCATAGTATATGGTTTGAATTGGTTTCGTCCCTCTTGTCTTTATTGTCTTCAAGCTTCTTCTGACTTCAAGTTACTAACTTCGAGTGCGTGATTTTCGAGAATGTCTGGTGAGAAGTTATTTGGTGTTATAGTCTGTGATAGCCAAGCTAAATGGGGCGGCCCAGAAGGTATTGCTAAACGAGTTGAAAACCTGCTTTCTACTGAAAATAGCGTATGGAAGACTTTCAAAGCCGAAGAAGGAGAGTTTCCAACTGAAGATGAGTTGAATACATTCCATGCGATTTATATTACCGGCAGTAAGCATTCTGTTCACGATAAAACACAGCAGTGGATAAAAGGGCTGGAACATTTTATCCAACGAGCATATGATTTGAAAAAGCCAAAAGTATTTGGAACATGCTTTGGTCATCAAATTATAGCACAGGCCCTTGGAGGCAAAGTCGCCCTGAATCCGTCGAGACGATTTATCTGCCACAACGAGGAAATCCAGCTATGTGGAGATGATAGTGATGATAGTGTCTTTTTGAGAAACCTGAGGAAAATTAATGATGGAAAACCGTTTCGTATTCTCCAGTCCCACAGCGATTGTGTTGAGGAATTACCGGAAAATGCAAAGAATGTGGCAACCTCTGATTCATGCGAACATGAAATTGTTTTGTTCAGTGTTAATATCATAGGTTCCCAGTCACATGCTGATTTCACTGTGGAGGATCTCACAGAAATAATTTTACCCTCGAAAATGAATGCGAATGCCATAACAAAAGAAGAGCTTGAATACGCTAACCAATCATTCCAGCAACCTAACAACTGTTTAGATTTGGCCAAGGCAATTCGTGAATTTTTTAATTCCTAAATTATCTGCTACTGTTTATTGTATTTGGAGCACTGTAAGCTATTAGAAATATAAAATATTACATGATTTCCAAAACTGGGAAAAATAAGATCACATAATATATTGATCTCTTGAAAAGAGGAATTAATAGCATTGTATTTTATACATATATTAACTGAAAAGCACATGTTAAAACTCAGCATTTATCTTGATATATATTCTTTGGCTTATAGATAAGGTTGGTGTATTTTTATTTCATTGGTAAATGTTAAGCTGACCAGGGGCGTAACTAGAATGATAATTGGGGGGGGGGTGAATATTAATATATTCAGTTCTGCCCGACGAATTTCTATTGTAAGCTATTGCAATTACAAAAGAAATCCGTAGGGCAGAACTGGATACATGAATATTCACCCCCCACCCAATTATTGTTCTAGTTACGCCACTGAAGCTGATTTCCCTTACCAGGTACTCTTAACATTTATGTAGAACACTGAACACTAGCCATGGGTTTCTTAATTAACTGCCTGAGCATTCTAGAACACCAGAGTAAGCAGAGTAAGCAAATGAGGCCCAGATTGGCCCATATTAGTGGTAGCCCTTTCCTGATAAAATTTCTTTGCAAAACATGTGGCTTGTGTGGATGAAAAATTTTATAAGAATCAGTGAAGTCCTAAAACCCTTAGGCATGAAAATTATCAGTCAGCCCTGCTCATGCTATTCTTTTTTTAATCTTTGTAAGGCTAAGCCCTGTTATGACAATATAATACATTTTCATGTAGTATATATGTGTCTGTTTATCTATTCCATGATACCCCATAAATGAAAGGGCCTCTAAATGGGTGCATTTGCCCCAGCCCCCCAGGCTAGGGACCCAAAGATCAATATAATCCCAAAGATCAATATGATCACAATAAACAAAAGGGAAAAAGTTTGGCCTTTCAAGTTTTCAGTTTGTTCTTTTCATCAATCAAGCAAAGCATTTAAAATCTATATGTTGTCAAAGTGAGGAGCTCAGCTCACTGGAAATTATCAAGTGCATGCCTCAAAAGTTGGATGACCATGTGCAGTTATCACAAGGCAGCTTTAAAAGGAGAATTACCCAAGCTAAGAGGATTACACCAAGCTAAAAGCCCAACAAGCTTGTATAAAGAGAATTCCAATTGCGGTGCCCACGCCAAGTTTGGCACCGCATTATATTCTGCCTGTGAGTTTGTTTGTTCGCATCAATACGTTTCCTTAATCGCCAAGTAAAAATTCCTTCCACATACTTGGAATGCTTGGAATTTTTTCCTAATTATTACTATTAAACTTGTTGTACGTTTGGCAAATTCCTTTTTTAAAGGAACGTTCTTTTTTCAATTTCAATCTCAAACTCTGATAATTGCGTGTATCTCTGCTTTTATGCACCCAAGAAGGACAAAAATACCACCATTCGATTCAGCGTAAGAAATTATACGTACAGGTCTTAAATATATTACTAAACAAGAGTATTCGCAGCGATTTATGACGTTTGAAAGACAAACGAAATTGAATTGTTGACAAATCGCTCAAAATTACTATGCTATACTTTACTAGTAATAGTAAGTTTGGTCTTTGATATCTTTCATATCGTTGGTTTTCTCTTTTAATTTTCGTCCTTAAATAAGTGGATCGGTCTTACATTGCGATTTATTTTATAGTACTTTCAGCCAAATATATTCTATTTCGAAGGTTTTAAAGTATAGTTTCAATAAGCGAACTTTATGACAAATCGCTCAAAATTATTAAACAAATTAAAAATGCAGTACGCTTAATCCTTGACTTCTGTATCGTTGCTTTTCTAGTTTCCGGTTCTACGCCAGTTTATTCGTCTCACGTTTCTCTTCATTTTGATAGTATTCTTAGAGCCTAAATATTTTATTTCTGAAAATTTTAAAACGGCGCAATTTTGACCTTAATGTACCAACCAACCAGGCTGTGCGGCCGACAGGAGAATGTAAGTTGGTGATGTCGTTAGAAATGAGCGGACGTTTTATTTCTAGGCGAGCATTGCGGGCACCGCATTTTAATACTGTGTCTGGTTTCTGTTACAATCGCTTAACCTGTACTAAAACATCGTTTTAGAGCAGCCTCGCTTCCAGGCTCTTTAATCAATTTCGCGGAAAATGGACTAAGCGCGGGGAACGCGGTGATGTCGAGTTGCGATCTTGCGATTAGTACTTTCACGCGACGTCTATTAAAGAGCCCGGGAACAAGGCTAGGATTTGAGATTTGAGGTGGAGATTTGACTTCACGTCTCGCTGACATATTGCGCTCGTACTGATTGGAATTTGATTGGTTTACGTCCCCTCAATGGCCGGTAGTGGTAGTGGAGTGGAGTCAAATCTGAACCTCGCTACTAGCCTAGGCGATAGAAGCGATCATAGGATCGCCTATGTTGCTTTGTCTCTAGGCAAACACCGAGGAGATACAGTGTTCAAAGCGGGGACCGGAACAATACAAAGGCGATGGGCGGGGCAGATTTTCGGTAGAGGGTTCTTCCATATTGACCGCGTCCCTAATTCAACGTCTGCAAATACGTTTGATAACTCTCAATCCTTCTTTCTTTAACCTCTTATTTGCCCAGAAAAATATCAGAGAATTGACTGTAGAGTTCATTAATACGAGAGTAACTGTCCACTGTTTGGATTGTACGAAGCCGTTCACCGTTTTAAAGGTATCATGAAACACTGCGAGAAATATTGCGTTCGGAAGATTTAAGACAAAGGTACAAAGCACAACCAAAAAGTACATCTTTGCAAGTTGTAAATCATGAAGGAATGATACTGTTTTGCTTGACTTCTCTGAATTTTCTCCTTCTTGATCATGTTCCTGGTTGTTAGTAGCGGCACCTGACTGATCTTGTCTCTCAATGTTATCAAGATTCTCCATTGAACGTGTTTCAGTTACGGAATTTATACAATCCATGTTTCTGGATCCACTGGTAGTGAGTGTATTTTGGGACTCTTCCTGCTTTCTCTTGTCAGTATTTTCAAGATTATGCTTCTTTTTTCTCGCGATATAAAATATTGAAATATAAATATAACATGTTCCAAGGATTACTACCACAGCCGTAATTGTTATGACCAATTGGACGTTCCAGCGTAGCGGATAAGCAACTGGACCACAGAAGATTGCCAAACTCCAGAACATGATGCAAACTACGAGACATCGCAGCTTTGTGACATGTTGCAGATGAAATATCGGATGAACGATGGATACATAGCGTTCAATATTCATCACAAAGAAAGTTAGGAAAGACATTCCAGATAAGACAATGGTTGCTATATGATAAAACGACTTGTAGGAACATTTTGCTTTTCCAGTGATTTCTGCAATCGACATTAACAAATTTGCCGGATGGAGAATTAATGTAACCAAGACATCAATTGACGATAAAAGCATGATCATAAAATAGGAAACTTTGTATCGTAATCTTGGTGTTTTCCAGAACACGTAAACAACGAGAGCGTTAAGAAATGAACCAGCAAAGAAAAGAACAAGGTTTACAATACAACCAATAACACTGTTGATGATATAAGACGTTGTCGGTCTCGTCACAATGTATGTTCTGTAGCATTCTTCAATTTCTCTTTCATCAGTGGTATTGCTCACAGTGAACATTTTTCTATTTGATCTTAGAGTGGTAGTAATATAGTCTTATGATAAGATAAAAGCTTAGGATGTTTATTATCGCAATTCTATACGTTATGCTTATATAGCCTATTTATATATATACAATAATATTGCTTCGCGCGACGGCAATATACTTCCGTGTTTTGGAATGCATATATAGTAATAGTATATTAGCATAGTCGGTTAAGTTTCCTTCCAAATGTGAAAGGAAATCTTGAATTCTCAGGCAACAGGCATCGTGAGGTAACTCGATCCCTCCTCCGCAAAGGTATATATTTTAAAAAACGGAGGTTTTTTATCCGTTTTGGCCTTACGTCCAAACGTAACCGGCGTTTTCGGCAACCGATAACGGAGGTTTTCAAAAAAGCTCTCCAGAGTGAAGTTTTTCGAAAACGCCGGTTTCGTGTTTATGTGTGGACAGGCGAAAACGGAGGTATATTTTTTACAAACATCTAATTATAACATACATCTCTGAACATACATTGTCTAGAAAAAAAGTGCTCGGATTAATGCTATTAAAGAGAAATGTTTTGAACTGAAGTCATAGCGAGAAGCTGTAAAGCTAAAATTTCTAAATAACTTGTATTTTTTCAATATTTGCATGGCGGAAGAATCGCGGCCTAATTTCAGTCGAAATGCGGATAATTTTAAAATAAATATCAAAGTCGTTATTAGTTTTTCAATATCCATTTTCAAAAAAACATTCAAGTTCTGAGCTAATGTAACGTCATCTACTCCAGAATAATTAATTTATAGACTGTTAAAATGATCAATATCTATACTGATGTAAGGAGGGAAATTGTTTCAGATATGGCATTGATAGGCCTACAAATATAATTATAGGTTCTAAAAAGGTTAGAGAAAATAATCTCTTCATGCATTATATAATGTCTTATATGTTAGCAAAAGAACAGAAAATTATTTACAGAAATAAACTCGTTTACAGCTATTCACCTATTCATTCAGTTATTTTACACCCAACATGCATGGACTGCAAGCCTTGCATGTACCCATGAACTCTAGTCACAGTCCATGTTTTTCTATGGTCCACAATTATCCTACTCTGAAACTGAAACATTGCCAGGACTTTTGTTTTTCAAGGAAATTCAAGACGTAGCTACAATTAGGGGTGTTTCCAAGAAAAACGTATTATCATTAAACTTTCTAAAAATATAAATAAGTTGAGTGTGATCTGTTTATCACCAAATATATTGCATATCATGCATGGGATTCTTCTTCATTTCAGTATAGGCAAACCGCGCTAGCAATCACAGTGTCAATAATGTGTTGTTCAACGTCTACAAATACGTTTGATGCATTTCAATCCTTCTTTCCTTAACCTCTTATTTGCCCAGAAAAATATCAGACAATTCACTGTAGAATTCATTACTAAGAGAGACAGTGTCCATTTTCTCGAGTGTATGTAGCCATTGACTGTCTTCGGAGTACCATGAAACACTGCAAGAAATATTGCGTTCGGAAGAATTAAGACAAAGGTACAAAGCACAACCAAAAAGTACATCTTTGCAAGTTGTAAATCATGAAGGAATGATACTGTTTTGCTTGACTTCTCTGAATTTTCTCCTTCTTGATCATCTTTCTGGTTGTCAGAAGCGGAGCCT